GAAGAATCATACCTCAGGTGTCTCCCGTTGACCAAGCCCCAGACCTCCACCCCCACAGGCATCTCTACAGGCATGCAGTGCTCAGAGAGCCAGTCTGTCTGCCCTGGCAGGTGTTCCCTGGGGCACTAGGCAGAGCAGCAGTGGTGGTTTTTTCCCAGGCAGGCATCCTGCCAGCAAAGCCAAGGGCAGGAGGAGTACAGCCTAGCGTCTCCGTTTCCTATTACGCAGGCTGTCTTGCTCAGCGCTTGTCTTAAAAAAGCCTCTCAGACTTGGGGCGAGGGCCTGCATATTCCCAAGCAAATAGAATCACTGTTACTGTAAAGCAGCACAGTTCTAGTGACCTGTGTTTGTGTTGCTGGGGCCACGTGATCAGGTGTTGTCAAGATTGAGCTGACAGCCACTGAAATTCCCCACAGCCTGCAGTTAGGGGAGGGCTGGAGTGAGGGAGTCCAGTACCAAGAATCCTCGGCTGGCTGAGTTCCTGCGCCTCTATCACTGCCAGAGTAAGTGTAGGAAAAGGGCGTGGTACATGGCCCCTAGTGGGAGCCCCCACGCAGTAGCTGCAAGTTTTTCTTTTTTACTTGGATGTCCAGACACCATGAGCAAACTGCCGTGGGCAGCTAGGAACTTTCTGGGTGTTGCCATGTGCTAGGCCGCAGTTAGCCCAAGCTATAAAGGGAGTAACACTTGAGGAATGGGGTCATGGTGGTCCAAATTGAGGCTCAAGGTGAGAGATACAGAGAAATACCCTAGTGAGATCACCCGGCTTGGCTCATTGGTTAAGAGTAACGTGCTTTGGACAAAGAAAGTCTCCAGGAAGAGACTCTACTCTTGGACGCACATCAGCTGGAAAGCTTTCCCAAAACTATGGGAGCCAGGGATGGTGGCACAAGCCTTTGATCCTCGCACTCAGGCTGAAGCAGGACTGCAAGTTCAAGCCCAACCTGGGCAATTCAACAACTTAGATTTTTGTCTCAAAAAAAATTAAAAAGCCTGGGGATGTGGCCCAGTGCAGAGGGCCTGGTTCAATCACCAGTACCAAAGAAAATGTTCTGTTGGCATCCCTCCAGGTTGGAAACTAGGGAAATCTGCATTAAAACAAAAACAAATGTCCCAGGGCTGCTAATGTATGTACAACCAGGATTAAGAACGACTGCCAGGGGAGAGGCGCACACCTGTTCGCCCACTTCCTCTTCTGCTGCAGTACTCACGCTTGTAGCAGGGACAAATGGTAAAGCACTTCATGCACATGATACCTGCTGGTTCACTTGTGTTATTTGGGTGAGACATGGCAATGCCAAGTGTTCTGACTACTTGTCTGTGTCCGTACACTCACTACAGCCTCCTCCTCCATACCCCTGAAGGTGCTTACTAGGCTTTCCCCTCTCTCTGCTCTTACCACGTCCGACCTTGCCAAGCCTCCAAAATACCAGTGGTTCGGGCACACTGACTCCTAATTTTTACCTAAGATTGCACTGCCTTCTGCCCCTACAATGGCACCTGGGAAACAGATACATTGTTTCAGAAGCCAGAAAAGAGCCCCAGTCTCTAAGTTTGGTCCTTCCTACTCCCACTTCACGCATTAATGCATTTTCTGATTTTGCTTGGACCCAGATTTCTTTTCCGTACCACCCCCAGCTCTGGGAGGCAAGTGCTTGTTTATTTTAATACCTAGTATGGCACTTGGAAAAGATCACACCTCCCCCATTGTTACCCATTTCTATCTCTTGAACACTAATCCTAGAAGCCCGACCAGCCCCCAGACATGATATTAGCAACAAGGATGTTTCTTGAAAAGTTTCCGAGCTGGCTCCAAATTTGCCATCTCAGTTTCTCATTTAGCTTTTGCTCCAAAATTGGCTAAGGTGCAACTTGGGTGCCAGGGGAGCAGACACAGGGGCCTATCTACAGCATCTGAGGCCCAGACATAAAAGTGGGACAGACAGAAAGGACAAAGACCCAAGCCTGCCCTCCTGCTCTGCTCCTCACAGTGGGGGACCCCACTGAGATTTCAGAGGCTGACTGCCCAGATCTGAGTTGGCTCCAAATTTGCCAACTCACTTTCTCATTTAGCTTTTGCCCTGCCAACAAGGGAAAGGCTAATTTGGGGGTTGGTTAGACCCAGATTCTGAGTTAGACAAGTGGCTTTTAAGCGCTTAATTTCTAGGAGCATTGCTTTGGGACAAGACTGCCATTTGTAGGGTCATTCATCCTTTGGGCAGAGTCCTAACAAGCTGAGAGAACTCCACTCATATTTTTTGCACTGGTCAGTGTCCGAAGATGAAGTTCAAGTCTAGCCTCTGTCCTTCCCTTGTTTCGTTCACTGTATCTAGGATCACAGCCCCTGGATCTGGGCAGTCAGCCTCCAAAATCTCAGTAGGGTCCACCACTGTGAGGAGCAGCAAGGGGGGCAGGCTTGGGTCTTTGTCCTTTCTATCTCACTTCATGTCTGGGCCTCAGATGCTGCCCATGGGCCCCTGTGTCTGCTGTCCTGGCACCCAAGCTGCACCTTAGCCATCAAGTATTCTCTGAGCCAGAGCCACCAGTAGCACAAGGTTAGACAGACTGAAGGACAGGGCCTGTCAGACTTCAAACTTTTTCATTAAGTAACCCTAATGACAAAGGAGAGTAAACAGACTCCTAGGAGTGTGCATTCTTGGCCCAAAGTGACTCTCATCAAACCAAAAGGAATTAACTATCTTAAATTCAGGCATGTTTGCCACATTATGCAGATACTACCAATTTGTTATTCATTTGTGGTTTTGTGTTCCTGAGATTGAAACCAGGAAAAGTTAAGCTACACTCAAATCCTTTTTATTTTGAAAAAGGACCAAATGAAAATGCTCATGTTGGCCTCGAACCTGTAATCCTCTCACCTGAGCCTAATTGGCCCAGCGCACTTTGTTTTTTAAATAAAAATACTATAACATTTTAGGCAAGTGTAGTGACATGCTCCCAGCACTCAGGAGGCTGATGAAAGAGGTAGAAGTCTGTTGGGAGTCTGAGGTGAGCCTGGAATACACAGTAAGATCTTGTTTCAAAAGAATCCAAAAGATGATGCTGCTGCTGCTGCTGCTGCTGCTGCTGCTGCTGCTGATGATGATTATTTAAATGACCTATTATTGAAGGTCAGTATGAACCTACATAATCAACCTGTGGCTTTGTGTTCCCCTGGTATAAACTAAGTTGAGAAGTTTGGCCCCGAGGCGTAAGTGTGACTATTCTTATTTCTAGTCCCCCCTGGATTGAATGGAACCATGACTTGAAAGAATAACAAAGCCTGGAATGCTCAGGCAAACTAAGGATAAAATTTTCAGGTGTAATGTGGAGACAGAGAGTGTCTTAAGTGATCCAATCAAGTCAAAGGATTCCAAGAGCCCATAGTAATCTCAAGGGGGCCAGGAGCATCAGATTTCACCCACCTCCAAAACTGGTGCTCTAGGAGGAGGCCTGGTCTTGCTCAGCCCTATTCTTCTAGCTGTTGCCCCAGCCCCTCTCATTGAACCTCCCATGCCAACCTCCTAGCAGCCCACCAGAATAACGGGAAACTTTCCCCAGGATATTGTTAGATTTCCCTTACAGTGGCTGTACATCTAAAAAGGCAAGAAAAAGGCCACATGCTGAGACTTACTGCATCCCAGACATTAATGACTTTACACTTTGGCTTATGTATGGTAGGAACAACTAATCATGTGGCTTCATATAAGGGAGCAAACTTTGGAGAATTCAAGTTTCGTATTTCAGTCACACAGTAAATAGGAGGGCCAAGAGTTTAATCCACATAAAAACCCAGGCTCATGACCACTGAGCTTTCAGTCTGGCTGCAAAGAACATGGGGTGGTGGTTGGGTTAAGGAGCCTTTGTGGAGACACTCATAGTACAGAATGTAGGGTCCCAGGTGTGAAAACCCATGGGCGAAATCTCAGAACCCTCCCCAAAACTGCTCCCTGCCCTAAAGGCACCCAGTATTTCCACACTTTCCTATCCAGCACAGGGCAGAATCCAAACTTCTCATCCTGGTAGCCCGGCCTCTAGGAGCTCACCTTAACAGCCTCTCAACCTCTCCCCTCACCATGGTTCCAGCCTCCGGGCTCCTCTCTGGGCTTCTCAGCCTCTTTAATTGTTCCCAGCTTCTCTAGCCTACAAGCATCTTCCCACCATCCACCATTCCCCAGTCCACATCTGCCCCTTGGTTTTGCACACAGTACATTAGCATGGCTTGTTTGCTCACTGAGCTCTGAGCCCAGCCCCAGGCCAAAAGCTCCCCCCCCCCCGCAATAGCTTGATCTCTGTATTCCCCATTTTGCGTTTAAATAGGAGAAATCAGCCCCTCTAGGGATCTCATCTGTGAGAGAAAGGAAATGTACTTCATAGTGTTACCATGAATCAAATTTGAGGATGCAGGCAAAGTTCTTAGCACACTGTGGCCACCAATTGATGAAGAAATGACACCAGTTGCTTTCAAATACATACATGGGTGACTTTGCTTTCTGGCCTGGAAAATGCTGGTATCTACCAGTCTGGAGAGGAGAGGGGTACAGCAGGATTAGGGGAGTGGAGGTCACGCTTTGCCAGAGGATCGGCTTTGCTTGGCGCTAGCGAGGTCTGCCTCTTACTGCCGCAGTGACCACCTCTTGCTCGGTCCTCCGGGTTGTGCAGGAGAAGAACGCGGATGTCCAGCACCGGGCGGACGCCCAGTTACTGGGCGTCTGCCAGTAACTGAGGACTGGTAAGGGTTAGGACAGATCGGGGGAGTGGGAAACCGAGAACTTGGGGAGGGGGGTGTGCAGAGTTATGAGGCAGGAGTCGGAACGAAGCCAGAAACTTCGAGGCTTTTCCCGTCCTTGCCTCCTGCTCTTCCAGGCTCGAGCTAAAATCCCGCAGGGAGAGTCTGGAGAGAGGTGAAGGTCGAGGCTGGGGATTAAGGACAAAGTCCTTAATCCGCGCGAGGGAATCCGTCGGGCTCAGGGACCCAGCGGACGCCCCCGCCTCCTCCCCCTCCAGCCTGCGCGAGCGGGCGGCGCGCTCCGCGGGGACGGCAGGGCTGAGCGCGACCCTCGGTGCCGCCGCTGCCCCCGCGCCGCAGCCCGCCGCCGCTGGCCAGCCGGGGGCGCCCCCATCTCTCTCCCCCCGGGCAGGGGAGCCGGGGGCAGCGCGGAGCCCGGGGGGAGCGTGGCCCCGCCGGCCAGGGCAGGGGGCAGCGAGGACGGCCCCGGGTAAGCGGCGGCGGCGGGGGGGGGCGGGAGCGGGGGCGGCAGGGGCGTGGGGGAGGGGCGGCCGGGCGGGAGCGCGGGGTGGCCACGTGAGCGCTGCTGCTGGGGCAGGGGACGCGGCGAGGTGCAGGAGGCGGAGAGCGAGCTGGGTGCCTGCATCCCCCCCACCAAACTCCCACCAATCAGGTGATGGGGAGCCCAGCGTCCTCCGGTGCACCCCCACACACACCCCCACACAAACGTGGTGGGGCCAGTCGGCTGGACTTGTGACCCGGTCTCTGCGATTCACAAAAGCCCTGGCCCTTTTCAGTCTAGGGGCAGGGACCTAGGCATCCAGGAGCTGAGCGGGATCAGGAACCTGGCTTTGGCCCCCGTACGTGGCCCGGGTTCCTTGCTAGCCACTGTCTGCAGACTCACTGCAGAGCACAGGCCCTGGGGAGAGAGCTCAGGGGCCTGGGCCCTGCTTCCTAGGACAGTCCCTTCCATCCTCCCCTAGCCTGGCACGTGGGCTTAGTAAGTGCTTAAACCCAGGACTTCTGCCTGGGAGGAAGAAGGGGGCATTGGTCACCTCAGAGCTGGGTCACTGTTAGGGGTACGGGGCCTCTCTTGCACCCTGGCGCCTTGGGCCGTTTCCAGATTTCATCTGTGTTACTCTCCAGAAGGGGCGAGTTTCCGGGTGGGGAATGTGGTGTCCAGGAGAATCAGCAGGTAGGGTACATCCTGGAATTCTCTAAATTGCCACACCCAGAGGGAGGCCCGGGACGCTGGTCTTCCTTGCTCTTTCTTCCTCCCTAAGACTGCCCCCTCCCCACCCGCCTGTGCTGTTATGTAATTAACCCAGCTCAGTCTCTCTTGTCTCGCTGTTGGGTGTCCAGGGATGCCCAGGGAACCTAGTGGCCTGGAGGGACATATGGGGAGAGGGAATTGGTACTTCTCCGTGTAAATGTAGGAACACCTGTTGGGGAAAGGAATCCACTTGGTACAGAGCAGATCAGGGTCCTAGACTTAGTTGACAATTCATTTGGTTATAAGGTCTTCACTTCTCTGAAGTCCGTGAGGTTTGGTGTTTGTTTTTCTTCAAAAAAATGTGAAGAATCTCTCTCACAGTTAGTGTATGTGGGCCTATCCAACAGTGACTGATGACCCCCACCCCAGGATTGCTAGAAGGTCCCTTAACAGTGTGACTACAGAAAACCTTAAGTGAGCAGTGGCCTCCCGCATGTGGCAATAGCCGCTGTTTATTGTCACCTACTCTGTGCCAGGTACTACTGTACTTCGCATGCTTAACCTAACAGTGTCCGATGAAGTCACACACACTTTTGGTGAATGGCAGAGCTGGAACTCAGTCCTTGGTGCTTCTCACTCCAAATCCTGCCCTTTTATTATTTACTATAATGGGTGTGTACATACCCCTAGATCAAGTCCTTTGAACTAGGACAGCCAACAGGACATTCAGCTAGAAATTGCACATCCATGGAAAGAGCATGCATCCACAGGAAAAGCATATACATATGCATGGTCTCATCAAAATCCAGCAAAACTGTCCCAAACCTACGTTAGCAGTTATGGGGGTGGGGGCACATCCCAACAGGTAGAGAACCAACTTTTCCTGACCAAAAAGTTTACTTGGATTATCTTAGAAATAAGGACTGTTGACCCTACTTTGCATATGTCCAGAGCACAACTCCGACTGGACAAGTGATTTGCCCACTGGTCCACTCATAGGGATCCTCCAAACTAGGTTTATAACCAACTCCAGAAGTCATGGAAACTGAGCAAGCGAGGAGCTAAAGAATTCCTATTAAAGTCCAACCCCTTAGCAGCTCTTTCCTATGCACTGGCTCTATGCAAGGTCCTCTGAACTCCTAGGAATGCCATCAGCTTGTAGGGAGTCACCATCTAAACCACTAAACGTGAAAGCTGCCAATTGTAGAAAGGAGCAGCCGCCATTCCCAACTGCGTGTGTGACTTTGGACACAGTAAGCCTGCTCTAAAGTGGGAAAAAGTAATATAGTCTCCACTAGGGCTATTGTACTGACCAAGGATAAATAACTGTGATGTGAGTGCACTGTGGTGCTGCTGTCCAGAGTCACCGTGGACATCTAACAGTGGTTCTCCAGTGAGAAATGAAGGGTGGTGAATCCTCTGCCCACAACATACCAAGAGTTCCTTTGCTGAGTTACACTTACCTCAGTCCTTCAAGATGAGGCTGAGACTCAGAGGCATTACTATCTCGTTCCAGGCACAGTGGGAATGCTAGGACTTGAACCCAAGTTTGTTGCTCTTTCCGCTATTGTGCAGCCTGCCTTGGATGGAGAGGCGGGCTTGGTGAAGAGTTGGATTACAGTGCTCGTCAATTGGAAGGTCGTGGGAGAACCGCACAAAAATTGTAGAAAGAAGGACAGGAGAAGTTTTGAATAGGTGGAGTCAGGATTGTGGGAAAGGGAAGGCATTCCAAGTGGCAGTGAGTGACAGCTTCAGCAAATCCCAGGAGCAGAAAAGTGCAGGACGCATCCAGGGATAAGCCAGTGCACTAAGCCTACCTCTTGTCCCCCAGTCCAGGTGGAGGCCGCAGAAGCAGCAATGATTGGTCCTGACGGTGGCTGAGCCCCCAGCCCCTGGAATATGCAGCCCGGGGGACCCCCAGGCAAGGACGCGGTGGCGGAGTGGGGCGGGAGGCATGGTCTCCACCTACCGGGTGGCTGTGCTGGGGGCACGAGGTGTGGGCAAGAGTGCCATCGTGCGCCAGTTCTTGTACAACGAGTTCAGCGACGTCTGTGTGCCCACCACCGCCCGCCGCCTCTACCTGCCTGCTGTGGTCATGAACGGCCATGTGCACGACCTCCAGATCCTGGACTTCCCACCCATCAGCGCCTTCCCTGTCAACACGCTGCAGGTAGGTGGCCCTGGGGGCCAAGAGGCCAGAGGATGGTGGGGTGGTAGAGTGGAGGAGAGTAGACTCTAGTGGCTTCAGCTGTGGCCCTGTTGGCCAGCACGGCAGCTGGGTGAGTAGTCCATGCTGCACCTTGGCTTCCCTGCTTACAGCTGACCCAGGAAGCTGTTCTTTTGTGTGCTAGCTTATTCAACAAATATTTGATGACTGCGTAGTGTGTACCAGCCCCTGCACTGGCCACCACACAGAATGGTCAACAAAACACATACAGAATTTGCTTTCAAGGAACTCGTAGTCTGGTGAGCAAAAACTAACAGGCAGTTATTAGTGAGAGAAGTGCTGTGATTGGAGGAAATGAACAAGATAAAGTGGCCCTTAAGGAGGAATCTAACCCACTCAGGTGGAGTGGGAGGGTCACAGGATGTGATGTCTCAGTTAAGTAGGTTTAGGCAGGAAAAGGCTGGTGGGGGAAAGGGTAGGGAAACACTGCATGGGAAGTCTCTGGGCTGTGCCTAGTGTGGCCCTTGGTCCTCAGCTGTGAAAGACACTGCAGAATAGTCTGGGACCTGAGAACGTGTTCTCAGACCCAAATCAGATCTTTCTCCCAAGGTCCTCTGCTCCTAGGTGGTTGCCCTGTCTCATCCCCACCTCAGAGCCACCCTCCCTGCGGAGCACCCTCGATGTAGGGTTTGGATTTAAGTCCCTCCTGACCCCTTGCTGATGGTGTACCTTCCACCAGCCTATGGGAACCAGGCCCTCCTTCTCTCTCCCTCTGGCTTGAGAGGGTGTGGCGTGCAGGAGAGAGCTGAGGTTTAAGGTGTGTTGCTCACAAGGGAAACCTCTGGCAAGGATGTGCAGAGGTTTGCAGAGGAGCTCGGTGATGGAGCCTCCGAAGGCAGAGAGAAAAACCCTGCAGATACAACACTGTCAGGCTGCTGCGGAGGCTGGGACTGGCAGGAGCTCAGTGATGTATCAACAAGTCTGAGAGCAGGGCTTTTGCCCAGCCTGCCTGAGGCACTTGTCTCTCCCAGCCCAGGTGCCTGAGGTCACCACCTAGACAAAAAGCTGATCGAGAAGCAGCTGCCCCAGAAGCAGTGCAAACACTGAGACTGTCAGAGCAAGGAGATCCAGGGTCAGATCCTTCTGATTCTCCTCTCATGGAGACTTTGATGGCAGCCATGCGGACATGCAAATCTGGCTCCGAGCCTGCATGACGAGCTTTGTTTCTTTTCTCACATTTAGTTGTGTATTTATTTTGATGTAATTTTAATTTTGGAATAGGTGAGATACAGCCAGTAAAAGTCTGAGCTGTGACCTAGAGAAACCTTGATCCCAGCCCTGCTCCTTCGCCTCATGGTTACTCCCTGTAACTATTCTCATTGGCTTTTTATTCATACTTCCAGGGTTTCTTTACTCAAATAAGGAAATATATTCTTATTGTACCCACTTTTTACATAAGAATTAAAACTGTACTGTTATGTTCCTTGTTTTTGTTTTGTTGGCACTAAGAATGAATCCACTGCCTTCCTCATGCTAAGTGGGCACTGAGCCGTGTACCTTGTTTTTTTGGTTTGTTATTGTGGGGTCTCACTGTGTTTCCCAAGCTGATCTTGAGCTCCAAATCCTCTCGTGTCAGCCTCTTGAGCAGCCAGATCACAGCTGTGCACCACCATACAGCCCCCCTTTTAAATGCCATAACATGGGGATATTCATTATATCTAGAGGGCTTCCTCATTCCTTTTTCCTGTGTACACTGTGCTCTACTATAGAGATACTCCATGAATCCCTCCTTTTTGAACAAGTGGGTGGTTTCCAATCTTGGGCTGTTTTTAACAATGCCATGTTGAGTAGCCTAATACATAAGTCACCTTGTACATAGGTAGTTATACCTGTGGAATTGATCCCTGGAAATGGTATGGCTGGATCAAACAGCAAATGCAGCTGGAATTTGGAAGATGTCTGCAGATTCCCTTCTACAAATGTAGTACATGTGCTCCTGCAAGGAATGTACCTGAGACCCCATTTCTCTCAAGTGTGGCCATCAGAGTATATCATAAAACTTTTGTAATTTTGAAAACCTGAAAGATGGGGGATGGGGATTTAGCTCAGCGGCATAAGCGCCTGCCTTGCAAGCATGCAGTCGTGAGTTCGATCCCTGGTACCGATAAAAACAAAAAAGACAAAAAAAAAAAAAAAGAAAAGAAAAGAAAACCTGAGAGATGGATTGTGATAGTCTTGGTGTGTTCTTTATTTTCACTGTGGGTATGAATGAAGTTCAGCATTTTCCATATGAGACCTTTGTGTTACCTTTTCTTACGTCATTTACCTACTTTTGTATTGGACTTTTGACTTCTTGATTAATCCTTAGGCTCTAGGATATCTAAGGTTTTACTCCTGAAGCAAGATAAGGGACTGTGAGCAAAGAAATCCTCAAGAACCTTATTTCAAAATAAAATAATGTGTTCTTCCCCAGTGCCAAGTGAGATGAGATCCAGCCCAAAAATGGCATTTGTCAGGCCCAAGATTTGGTTGTTGCTGGACCCAAGATTCCAATTCAGCTATTCTACAGCTAGATCTCCCTGTCTCTGTCTCTGTTAATGCCTCTCTGTTAATGTCTATCTGCCCCCCACTCTGTCTGTCTGTCTGTCTGTGTCTGTCTGTCTCTCTCTGCCTCTCTCTGTTTCTGTCTGTCTCTCTGTCTCCCCTCCCTCTCTTTCTCCCTCCCTCTATCTCTCAGATTGAACCCAAAGCCTTGCCCATGCTAGACAAATGTCCTGCCACTAAGCTATATGGTCAACTCCTCCATTTCTCATTGTTTCAGGAACAAATTAGAACACTGCAGAGAGCAAGCTGGAAGGAAAGCTGAACTTTCTCAATTCCTTCCCTCGGCCGGGGGTAACGGGATGACCTAGTCAATCAGAAGCTTTTGTCTCTCCCTTTTGGAAGTCCTCAGAGAGGAGTGAGTGGGAGGCAACCTGGAGGTTCCCTTGAGGAGGCAGTGTGTTGGGAAAGAGATGGGGCTGTCACCTCAAAGGCTGGCAGCTGAGAGTGGGAGGGAGCTTGCAGAGAGCAGGGGCCTCCCCTCCCTCCCTCTTCTCCCAGCCTCCATATCTGTGGGATAGGGGAGGAACCGCATTCACACACAGGCTTCCACTCCCAGAGGTCACTCTGTCTCATGGAATACATCTTTCTGGACCGGGGGGAAAAATAGTTCATGGTATCCTACAGGTTTAGATTTGTCCTCAGCACTTCCCTGCACCAAAAAGTAAAACCTCAGCACAAAGAACATCACCTCCCTGGGGAATCTGTAGCATCTTCTGAGCCTTTGCATCAGAAGTGCTATTCTGAAGTTGAACTTCACTTTTCATGATTGCCATCAAAATCCATTCCTTTGGATTCCTTCCTTGAGTGGAAAAACCAGTGAAAACCCTCCTTTGTGTCCAGCCCTAGCCACAACTGAACTCCAGCTGTGACAGGAGACATATCTCCGTCTCCTAGTATGTCTTCCTTTTCCTTTCTTGCTTCCTTCTTTTCTTCTTCTTCCTCCCCTCCCCTTCTCTCTCCCTCCCCGCTCACCGTCTCTCACTTTCTAGCTCTCTCTGTCTTTCTATCTTTCTGTCTCTGGCTTTTCTGTCTCTCTTTGTGCACTAGGGGTTGGAGCCAGAACCTTAAATATGCAAGACCTGTGCTCTATCACTGATTTACACCTCCCTAAGTAGACGTTTTGTGGCCCCTTGAGAAAGAAGACCCTGGTTCCCTTTGCCTTTAAAGGCTTCTCTGCCCACCTCACTTCAGGTACTCCCCCCCTTTCAGCACACTGGCCCATTGCCCGAAACTCCTTACAGTTGCATCTACTGGCAGGTTAATTAATCTCTTCAGGAACTTTCTCTGTAGCACATTCACCATTTCTGGAGGCCTATTCATTTTGAACTACAGACTCTTCCTAAGAAGTTGCCACAAACTAACATTCAAGTTCTTCTTTTGTTTTTTTGTACTGGGGTTTGAACTCATGATCTCATGTTTACTAGGCAAGCGCTTGAGCCACCGAGCTAAATCCCCAGCCCCTAAAAGTTCTGTCTCCTGAAACTACCCTATGGCTCTGTTCTACAGCTCAATCACCCCACTCCCTTATGCATCCAGTTTCTTTTTTCTTGGCAATCCTGAGGGCAAAAGAGGAGGATACACCAGGTAGCAACCTAAGAGCAGTGTCAGGTCAGGAGTTGCATGGATCCCAACTTGGACAGTGTGGGATTCAGCACCGTGGAGAGCTCCTTACTCTAGCTGGTGCAATTAAAAAAGTTAGCAGTGCTAGAATAGGTACAGAACAGAATAGAGAAGCCAGACATGGTGGCAAACACCTGTAATCCCACCACTCCTGAAGGCAGGAAGATCACAAGTTCAAGCCCAGCCTGGGCAACTTAGAGACGTAGTGAAACCCTATCTCAAAATTAAAAACTAAGAAAGGGCTGGGGTTGTTCATGCAAAGGTCCCAGGTTAAAAAAGAAAAAAAAAGGAATATGTGAAACGAACAAGACCTGCTTTGGTCCTCTTGAGTGCACACAGTAGATGTAGAAAACTGGAATCGGAACAGCTTTAACCAAGGTGTAATCGAATGGTTGCTAGAACATGGGGATGAAGGGAAAGGTTTTCTGCTTGCCAGAAAGGTGGCAAGTCAGGAAGGTTTCTTAGAGGAGGAGGAGGACTTCAGCTGAGCACTGAAGATAGACAATTTAAACAGGTCTAACAACTAGTTCGAGACTGGACTCCTAAAGGCACTTAATAAATTTAATAAATGGACTAGTTGATGGGTGAGAGGGCAGAATGTTACTAGACAGATCAAATGTCTGCATACACACAAGGTAGTGCCATGGACCTGGAGGTCAGTTAATGTGACCTGCCATCCTGACTGCGGAGTGAGGAGGCTGTGGCACTGAGCACCTCCGTTCCTGCAGGGCCTGGCCTCCTGGGAACGGGCAGGCATGGAAGGCTTCTACTGCAGGGGCCGGGGTGGAGACGCTTTTAGCTAGAGGTGGGGGGATTCTCATGACTGCTCTGACTTTGCTGTTGCCTGGGGCTGTTGCAGGAGTGGGCAGATGCCTGCTGCAGGGGACTCCGAAGCGTCCATGCCTACATCCTTGTCTACGACATCTGCTGCTTTGACAGCTTTGAGTACGTCAAGACCATCCGCCAGCAGATCCTGGAGACAAGGTGAGGGGGTGTGATCACCTAGTGCCACCTCTGAATCCTCCAGTGCCATCCTGCCCCAGTGGAAGTGGGACAGTGAGAGGTCACAGGAGAAATACTGTGGCCTCTCTGTCCCATATGTACTCTCAAACATGCACAATCTGTATTTTTTCTGTCCTCACTTCTGTTGACTCGTTTTGGGACCACAAAATTGCTTAGTTAACATGTAGGCCTCAGTTTCCTCATCTGTAAAACAGGAATATTAGTTCCCACTTTGGATCAGTTGTGTTGATGGGAGAATGTTAATTCACATCAAGGGCTTAGGGCTGCACCTGGGGAAGCACACAGAGTGGTAGAGTCTAGTGGTTTTAACAGTGGCCAGGTTTTGAGTTCTTGCCTCGCCCCGCAGGGTGATTGGCACCTCGGAGACGCCCATCATCATCGTGGGCAACAAGCGAGACCTGCAGCACGGACGCGTGATCCCGCGCTGGAACGTGTCGCACCTGGTGCGCAAGACCTGGAAGTGCGGCTATGTGGAGTGCTCGGCCAAGTACAACTGGCACATCCTGCTGCTCTTCAGCGAGCTGCTCAAGAGCGTTGGCTGCGCCCGCTGCAAACACGTGCATGCCGCCCTGCGCTTCCAGGGCGCGCTGCGCCGCAACCGCTGCGCCATCATGTGAGGCTGGGGGCCCCTGCTCTGCCGCTGGCCGCAGCCTGGAGCCCAGCAGAGGGGGGTGCCAGGAGGGCAAGGAGCCTGCAGAAAGCGAACTCATGGACCGGGCCTGGAACATCCCCACGGCCACGCACCTCCAGGAAAGGCGAGGGCAAGCAGGACTCCTCCGCCCTCCCTCCTCCCGAGTTTGTCTTCCGGGGACAACCACCTTCACTGCTGTGGCTAGAGCAGTGCCCAGCCTGGCCCGAGCTGGTGCCACACCCTTTGGGGCTTGGGGGCGATCGGGTGAAATGGACAGTGGGGTGAGGAGGTGCTGCTGCTTTGGCTGGGCCCCCACCTGTCCCCTCCGAGTGTGTCTGTCTTTGTCCAGTGTCCTCCTTTTCCCGCGTCTGTCTGCCCAGCCGTCTGTTCATTCTTCCCTGTCTTTTCCACCCTCTGGTCTCCCTCCCCACCCCCAGCTCCGCTCACAGGGCTCTCATTTCGTTCACCTCCTTGTCACAGATCCTGGCAGCTTTTGATGCCAGGCCATCTGGCCATCAGCGCCACTGGCACAGGGCAGAGAGATGCAGGTGGCCCACGGACCACAATCTAAGGGTTGAGGTCCCAGATAAGTCAGGGGGAGAAGGCTGAGCTCTCCTATTCCCAGGGAGACCTCCCTGCCCGACAGCCCCCAGAGATACAACAACCTACCTTCCAGCCTTAACTCGATGGTCCATCCCTGCCGGGTGCCCCTCACCCCCTCCTGACCCCGAAGTCAGGTCACCCCCTGGGTTAAAACTTCTGTTTTAATAGCATGGGGAGGGAATTCCCCCAGAGGATAGATTCCTTCCCATGATGCCAGGTTCCTGTCCCCTGTTAGCTCCTGCACCAGGTGATCTGCCAGATTGGGGGATGTAGAATTCTGAGGGTTTGTTGGTTGCAGCCAGGGTGGTGCTCAGGAGGGGGTCAGGTTGTGCCAGTGACAATTCTGCCTCCCCGTCCCACCCCAATTCTGCCTGCCTCAGATCTCAGGGTACCCTGATTCTTCTAGGCAGGAGCTAGGAAAAGAATTACGGGGACCCCTGTTCCTGGGGGTGATATGCCTGCATCCCCACCCATAGGTGGAGGCCCTCAGGATCTGACACCCCTGGCCCAATACCAGTTGGCCCTATGCCCTAACTCACTCCACCCCATTTTCTCCGGCTGCTTGGCCGGGTTTCTACCTCTCGTCACCGGAGCTGATCACTGTCAGTTTTGTACCAATTTAGAAATAACAATAATAATGATTCTAGGAAATGCCCTGCGGGGTTAATGAGGGGGCAGAGAGAGACAGGCAGGCAGACAGACAGACAGACAGTCAGACAGAGAAATGGTGCCATGTCCCTTGCCGTTGGCCAAAGGAAGTTCTCTTTGAGGCTGAGCCCTTGGCCCTAGTCCAGTGGGAGGATATCAGGGACCCTTGGTTAAAAGAGGAGGGTACATTGAACAGTCCAGCTTTGGCCAGCTTAGCCCAGGCTGCAGCACATAACCAGGAAATCAGATAGCCCCAAGTGGTGATGGGAGGCTGGAAAAGGGTCATGGGCGGGGGAGTTTATCATTAGGATCCAGGGTGGAGGGAGTATATGATTCTCTCTTCTGTTTCCCCCACTGATCTCCACTCCCTCCCCCCATGAGGTCAGCACAGCCCTACAGCAGCTGCCCCAACCTTGGGCAGACCATTGTGCTGGGTTTTAGCCCCTGCTGTGCTGCATGACTGGGCCAATGACTTGCCCTCTCTGAGCCTCCCTCTGAAACAGAGGAAGTGGCTCCCCTCCTCCACACTTGAGTGGCCAGGAGGGTAAGGAAGAGGGCAGCCCACTCTTGTCTTTGCACCCTTACCCACTGGTTCACCAGAGGGATGAGGGCAGATGACAGCATCTTCTGTTTCCTCCCACTCCCAACTCAGAAGCACCTGAGGCGAGGGTGGGGGACCAGACTTCTGGCTGCCCCCGTGGGGAACATTGGAATGTATCCCCCATTGGCTGCACCTCACAGCCCTGCGCTTCACACCAGGTCTTGGATTTCAGGTCCTTCCACACCCATTCTGAGTCTCTGTCCTTCCCCAGCCCCATCAGGGTTTCCCACCACAGGGTCTGGAAGTGTGTGTGATGCCCATAGGCTGTTACTGGAAGTCAGATTAAACATCAGGGAGTGTTTCCCTTGTTTCTGTACCAAGGTGTTGGCTCTGTTCCAAACGGAAGGAGGGGACAGGTCCCTGTAGTACCTGCCTGCTGAGTTCTGCGTGGGCAGGAGTGTGACAATGAAGTGGTTGCCAGTCTTAAAGCTCAGGTCAATGAGGAGGTTGGAGGAGAGGAGTTTGGGAACAGATCTCCTTTCCACTGAGTTCCAAACCAGGAGAGAACATAATTTTCCCCCTTGCTGTTCTCTCTGCAGACTTTATAACAGGACCAGTCCCAGCTTCTCCTGCATCTTCTTACCACAGGGCTGAGACTTTGTGGCCTCTGAAGCCTAGCTTCTGGGACATTGATATGGTGGAAATACTCTTAGCCATCCCTCTTGCCCCTGAATGGGCTGGGTTCCCAAGCTGCAAAGCTTTGAAGTTCTTGGTAAGGTGGCCTGCAGGAGTTTTGTGTGTTGGGCAGCTCATGTCTCTGTCTATAGTTTTGAGCTGCCGGCCACCTCCAGGAAAGAGAAGGCTGTCTGGCAAGGTTGGCAGAGTCTCCAGAAAGGAGGCCTCCCTCATCCCTACCTCCTTTCAGTGGGCTAATACTTAAAAGTTACTTTCCTACACCTCCACAGCCCTAGAAGTAGGGAGCCCAAATGCTGGGGGCTCCAGGACACACCCACATGTGTTTGCCATGGTGACAGGCTAGGAGTTTGGGGACCGTTTCTGTGGAGGTCATTATGATATAAGGTCATCCCACTGTCTTTGGGCTAATGCTGGAATTGGAGTGGGAGGGGTTGGTTGTCCTTTTGCTCAGTGGAACAGATTGAGTCTACACTTGTCTTTGGTCCCCTCCTGGCCAAGGTCCTCTGCTGAGATGAAAGAACCTCCCTTCTGCTCTTGCATATGTGGGCACCCATTTTTGCTTTCCTCCTCCCCCAGCTGCAGACTCCTCAGACCCAGGATTCCTCCGAGGAGAGCTGGGCTTGATCCAGTTGTTGAGGGCCCTGGCCCTCCAACGGCTGGGGGATTTTCTCCACTGAAGCCAATGACTCTTTCTTCTTTTCTTCTTGTTCTCTGGCTGAACCTCTGCCCACCTGGGCTACTCCTCCTCTTGTGCTGCTCAGGTCAGCTCTCAATGGCCTCTCCCGGGAGGGTGCCCTAGCTGGACCCAGACAAAGGTAGGCCAGTGGTTTGGGGATTCGTGAAGGATGCTTCTCAGGTCTGTGGTCTCTCCGGGGCCGGATCCTGGGCCTCAACTTGAGCTTGTAGATGGATGGGACCCTCTTGGGCTTCCGGAGTGTTCTCTTGCCTTTGCCCAGACATCCCTTGGCTTTGTCAGAACTGGGGTCTGGAGGCAAAGGAGTGGGGATCTCAGGGCTGGCAGACATCCTGGGGGCTGAGCAGTCCTGCCCTCCTGGAAGTGAAGCCTCCCACATCGTGCTGCTGTTGGAACTAAAGCTTGCCTTTGCCAGTGGCCCACTGTCTCTGGCTCCCGGCTTTCCTTTTGTGCTTTGTGGGCCTGCAGTAACAGCTGGCTTAGGGGAGCCTGTGGGGGACACAGTCCAGGCTCCCAGGTTCACTTTAAGGAGGGGTGGGGGACCATGAGCCAGTTCTCGGATAACTTGGTCATAAAGACCCCCAGGCTCAGGCCACCGCCCACCCAGGCTGGGGACATAGACTCCACTTCGAGGGATAGCTGGAGGCTTTGTGCCCTGGGGATGGGCACCCTGCACCTCTAGCCTCTTCATTTTGGTCACAATCTCCTCCTCAAGGCTGTGGGAGGTGGTTTGCTCCTTGGTCCTGTCCAGGGGCAGGGGAGTACACTTCCCTTCCTGCTCCTGTAGGGTCAGGCCCTGGGGTTCTGCAGCCTCTGCAGTGACCCAGGTATCTGTGAGCTGGTCCCCCTGCCTCCTCCCTTCCACAGAGCTGTCCTCATGTCTGAACCCAGCCAAGTCTTCTGTGACAGCCCCTAGTGGGATAGGACCTCTGCTCAGCTCTGCTGTGAATCCTCCAGTTGGAGTACCTTGGAAATTTTTTCCTGGGGTGGGAGGGCGAGCAGGGGACACCCAGATGGGGACCTTAATGAGTCCTCTGACAGGGGATGGAGAACTAATAGATGCTGGCTCCCTGAGCTGGAGGGATGCACCCTCAGCCTCACCCCGGGGTGGCAACATGAGGCCCAGGGGCTTAGTTGGGCTAGAGGAATGAGGTAGGGAAGATGATCCTCTTGCTGATGTCCCTTTGGTGGTGGCTTGAGCTTGGGGTCTCTGTGGGGTGGGGACCTTGGCACAGGTTCCCTGACTAACCATCTCCTCATGAACCCAAGATGTAGGAGTCTTTCCTCTACCGAGTTCCCCAGGGTATCGGATCTCTCTCTTCCCTGATGGGCTGCACTGTAAGTCTCCGTCTCTATGAGTGGAAGAGAAGTGGGGACTCAGTGGGCTGGCCCCAGCTGACAGCTGCCTCTGAGATGAAGCATGAAACCTTTCCTGGGACCTGAAAAAGAGAATAATCAGTCTGGAAAGAGAGACATACAAGGCTGTCAGGGTCATTGCGTGCACCCCCTGGCTCTGGGAAGGGAGAGCTTTGTCCCCATCTGAACACCATGGCAGCTGTAAAGTCCCCTACTGCAGTCACTGTTCAGGTCTCCTCTCCCTTATTCCCAGAGTAACATAATAGAAGGAAACCTGGTCCACACCTGGACGTGTGAGCAATGACACCAGACCAGAGGGCTGACAACCAGGGGCCACTTGTCTTGTGGGGAGGTCTTAGTCTCAGCTCTGCCATGGAATGGCAGAAGGACCTTGGGTATGTGTGTTCCCTGGGTGGGCCTCAGTCTCCTCGTGTGTGAGGTGAGTTGGCACATGAAGTAACTAGATGGTTCCAAAGCACTGAGATGTTCTGAGCACCCGGGATTTGTGAAGGTACAGGCACTGCTCCCTTTATCTTGGGGTGGGAGTCCCTCCAAGAATAGGAACTCTCAAAGGAAAAAGAAGTTGTTCCCTGTACCTTTGAAATGGAACCATCTGTCTGAGGGCCCTAGCTCTTGCTCCCCTTTTGCTGCAAGGTCCGGGGGAGGAAGAGGAGGCAGGCCTCAGCTTTTGGTCTGAAGCAGTGTATGTCTTCCAGTCCACGGGCGGAAGTGGGCTCTGCGAGCGGCTGATGGTCATTGTAGGCTGTGGCAGAAAGGGCCCGTCCTGCACCCTCACTTGATGCTGCACCGGTGGGGCTGGAGGCTTCAAGAAGCTGACTGGCTTGTGCGCTACCAACATTGTCCCCCAGAGAAAAGAGAAGAGAGAGGGTCGGATCCTGCTGATGGGGTTCATGATTCCCCTCCCCCAGCTGTCCATGCCCCACTTTAAAGACAGTGGTGACTACAGTGGCAGCACCAGTGTTTCCTCACAGGAGGATTGGGGGGCTGCAATCTAGCCTGAGGGTCCACCCCCCTCTGGGGAACTTGTTTAAAGCTGTATTTGTATTCCTGGTCCACACCTCCTGCTTAGATTGTATGACCATTTGGGCTGTCTCAAAGTGCTGACAGAGATCACAAAAGGAATAAACACCTTCCCAAGTCACACTTGGTGCCACCACTGTGGACACAGTAGCCAGACCTAAACCCCACAGAATGCACCCTGACCGAACGCTGATTCTGCGTGTGTTGCCCACCATCTTGTGGTGGTGGGTAGTACTGCACTGTGACTGCTTAACTCTCAGGTCTCACTCCTCCATCCTCTCCCCAAACCCCTCCCACACCTCGGGGACCTGGGGCTGGGTCCTGCCTCCCATCTTTGCTGCTGGTCTTCCGACCCAGAGTTATGGGTCTGCAGCCAACCCCACAGGGAAGGGACTCTCAGCGGACTTACAGAGCGATGTGCACCGGCAGGGGTCATGCTTGTCCAGATAATGACCCAGCGTGTCCCAGCCGCCCCCCACACGCACCATCACATGGTTCCGGAGGATCTGAGCAGGGCAAGAATGAGGTTGAGGGCAGAGTGGAAGGCATCCCCTATTCCTGAGCCACCTTGCAGGCTTGTGGCACATTGAGGGAGACACCCATCCATGAGCCCATGCATAGGCAGACACTCCTTTGTACACGTGAGTGGTTGAGAGCAGGTATATTTTGACACATCGTATCATGAGTGAGGGCCAAGCTTACAAACAGAAAGTCATCCCTACTGGACAATGATTATACAAGCATTAGTCCATAGGTTGGCCCTGGGGAATTCCCTGCTTTCCCTTCTTGCAGAGGGGTTTGCACCTGCCCATCCTGGTATCTATAATGTGCCCTGATGCCACAAAGATGCCTCTGGCTTTGCCTCTGTGGTGCACCTAGCAAAGCCTAGCCCACCCCACACGGTGTTGGGCCAGGTCACGTCTTGATTCATTTCCTCGGGTGAAAGTGAGCCCATAATTCCCACATCATAAGGCCGTCGCCTCAGTCTGGGTGAAGCCTCTGGTTGCCAGCTATGGCTCAAAGGTGTGCCTTACACCTAAGGAAAAGGTGTGACTCTGACCACACCCAGCACCCAGACCATTTCTGGTGAGCAACCAAGTACTGAGTGGCGTGCAGGGGCTGCACACCAAACACAGACTTGGGGCTCTACGGCCCCTTGTTCTGCCTGAGTGTGTGGGTAGAGTGGGGTACAACGGAATGGGAAAACAAGGGCACATCCTGCACCCTTAATTCTTTCTGCAGCCACCTTCAAGACTTAGTATGATGGAAGCAAGGGAAGGTGGTAGTTCCAGACGCCCTGATGGGAAGAGAGAACTTTGCCAAGATTCTCCTGGAAATTTCCAAGGAAGAGGAAGAGAGCGCTAAGGTCCAGCAGCTTGGGGTATATGGTAATTTCCTGTCCTTGCCCTTAGACCTGGGCAAGGTCTCTTCGAAAGGAACCTGACTGTGCTGAGCCTGGGGAGCCTTCCACCCCCAGGCCAGACTTACCCTGATGAAGATGAGGGTGTTGGAGTCTCCCACTCGGTACTTCCCTTCGGACACCTTGACCATGGAGAATTGCACTGGGCATGTGCAGTGGCTCACGAGGTTCTGCACCTGCAGGAAGCAGGCAGAGGGCTCAGCCTTCCACTCTGTCTGGGCACCCGAGGTTCCCCCAGTGCTGGGTCAGGCTAGATGGGGGCCTGCCTCCAGAGCCACCTGCCTCCAGAGCCACCCCCGGGCTCGCTGCTGAGGTCAGGGCTGGGGGCCGAGAAGCAAGTAGAAAACTGAGAAGACTTTAAGTGAGCAAGTGAGAGGAAACTGTGTGGCTGGATGCCTTCGTGGGTCAGCTGTCAGAGCCGCGGAGTGGAGTGGCTAAGCAGGTGGACTACGGAGGCTGACAAGCATGAGTCAGAGGCCTGTGTCCCCACATTCAGGCCGTCAGTTAAGAGACTTCCCTGAGCTCCATTTCCTCCGGTGGTAAAAATAGGGGAAAGCATGGTAAGAGCCAATGCCCGCGGAGCGCCCCCTCTCGGCGGAACGAGCTCCAGTGCTCTTCTCGCGCGTTGGTTCACGCATTCAGTAGTTAGGAGACAGGGGCTGCTCCTGTGGCTCCACTAAGGGACAGAAGCATAGGAAGAATTCAATCACAATAGTTTGCTCAAGGCCACCCAGTGGGGAAGCAGTGGCGCTAAGCTATGACCAGGGTGCCAGGGAAGATGGAGCATCCCTGTTCTACACGCCCGGCCCTCTCGGGTTCAGTGACGGAGGTGTACAGAAGGTAGCTGCATAGCTATAACTACCTGTGGTTAGGGATGGGGCTCAGAATGGAGCATGAGCCACTCAGACCTGCACGGCGGGGGCGGGGACTTGGCTTCCAGCAGGGGCAGCTCAGAGACGGATGGGGTGGGGTGGGATGGGATGGGATGGGATGGGATGGGATGGGGAAGAACAGCGCAGAGTGAGGGCGGCTTGAACCTAAGGGTGATGCGGGGCCTCACCATCTGGTCCAGGTTTCGGAAGTGGCAGGGCCGGCGAACCTGGACCGCAGGCCGCGGGGGGTCTGGTGGGGGCAGGGCCAGGTCCTGCCGCAGCTCCTCCTCGATCTCCTCCTCCAGCTGCACCAGCGTGGGCGCCGCCACGCCGAAGCGCCAGGCGCAGCGGCCCAGCTCCAGCAAGCAGAGAACCACGTTCCTCACGTTCTTGCGCAGCACCAAGTCCTCCGTCTCGAACATCAGCACCTCTGCCATGGGCCGGGGAGAGGGGTGCAGGCGGCCTGAGTCCCTGCTGACCTCCAGGGGAGTCCTGGGGGCTGTCCTGAGACCAGGTTGGAGACAAGATTCAGGTCTCCAGATCTCCTGGGCCCAGGAGGCTCCCAGGAGATGTGTGGCAGGGCTTGCTCTGGGGCTAGGGGGCAGAGAAGACGTCGGCCTCTCTCGAGAGGCCACACAGCACAGCAGAGGAGCCACGGGTGGCAGAGAGAAGAGTGACAGGTGCGCACCTGCCTCCTCCTGCCTGGCAGCTGAAGCAGGAAGCAGGGCTCTCTGCTCCCCACCTAGGCTTTCAGCGTCTACTCAGCTCCTCGACTTCCCCACACCCAAAAATCCAGGCAGGGATGAAAAAGGCTCTGGACCTCCCTCCCCCAGACAGCTGTGTGTCTTGGGCCTCAGTTTCCTCTTCTCTAAATGGGGAAGTGATCTTTTTCATAGAGTTGTCAGGATTTGATTTCTTTCTTTCTTTTTTTAACCGGTACCGGGGATCAAACTCACGACCACCTGCTTGCAAGGCAGGTGCTTATGCCCTAAATCCCCAGCCCTAGGCTAATAAATTTCTAACGATGTCTGGTACAGCAAAAGTGCCCCATGAAACACTAGATTTTTTTCTTTTCTCTTGGCTTTTTTTGTTTGTTGTTTTTTGAGTCTTTTAAAAATTTGGTTTTGTTTGTGATACTAGGGATTGACTGATTCCAGGCCCTTCACAGTGAGCTACATCTTTAGCACCTATTCATTCACTTATTTGTATTTTGTTTTTTAGTGATAGGGTCTCATTTTGTAGTGCAGGCTGGCCTTGAGCTCACTAAGTAGCCCAGGCTGGCCTTGAAGTCACAGGGATCCGCCCGCCTCAGCCTCCTAAGTGCTGGGATTATAAGTGTGCGCCACTATGCCTGGCTCCTTTTGAGTTTTAAATTTTGAAACAGGGTCTCACTAAACTGCCCAGGCTGGGCCTGAACTTTCAGTCCTCCTCCCTCAGCCTCCCTTAGTAGTGGGATTACAGCCGTGCACCACATACCTGGCTAAAACACCAGCACCTCCCTGGTACCCACTAATCACAAGTTCTACCACTGAGCTACACTCTCAGCCCAAACCTTCCAAGCCAGCCCCTCACTGCCACCAGCCACCCTGCTTCATCACCCCTCCCCCCTCACCTTTGACCTGGGGGGTAGTACAGCACCAGCCTCATCCCATTCTAAGCCTAAGGCCAACCAGATGTGGGATCCTGGCAAGTCACTCCCCTGAGTCCCACAGGCCCTGGCATGACCGTGCCCTGCCCCAATGTCATTGCTCCTCCTGAATCTCACCCCACACTGGCTCTGCATGTTCACCACCCCCAGCTTCTCCCAGGTGTCAAACACAGGGCCTTCCCTGTGTCTTTGCCGCTGTTCTCCACCTGCCTAGGATTCCTCTTCCCCCAAACTCCTCAAGATTTAGCCCCAATGGCCTTCTTTGGGTCCTACTTCTCCATCATCAGTTTGCTGATTCCTCCTCTGGTTTCCCAGAACTCCCACCTAGACTGGAAGCACTCCTGATTCTGGGCTGTGGTTTACATCTCTGCTCATCTGCCTATGTTACTAGACTGTGTTTGCCTTGGTCACTGGCTCTTGGTCTTTAGTGACTAGCATGGTGTTCAACACAGATGAGGTACTTCATATGTTTGTTGAATGAACCATCAATCATTAATATGTAAATCTGAGAATTTGTATGAGATAGGGAAACTGAGGTATAAAAATAGATGAACTGGTCCAAAGCCAAATCTAGAAGAAGTACTTAAGTTCCTGACCCCCAGATATACCCTGAAGATCAGAAAAGGGATAGGTGCCTCCAGAAGATAAGAGTCTAGCTGGATGTAGTGGCACATTATAATCCTAGCACTCTGGACGCTGAGGCAGGAGGATTGCTGAGAGTTTGAGACTAGTCTAGGCTTCATAGCAAGCTCAAGGCCAACCTTAACTACATACTGAAACCCTGTCTCCCTCCACCAAAGGTTAAGGATCTGGGATAGGGTGGTTACCTTGGATGCCCATCTCCTTTCGACACCACTGGATGAAGTTGGAGACATTGTCCCTGGCCTGGAAAGTCCCTGGCTGGGCAGCCCCATTGCAGGAAACCCCAGTCCGAGGCATGGGAATCCTCTGGGCTTGGGCAGGAGCCTCTTCCAGGAAGGCTAGAGCAGCCTCGGTGACCCTGTTGGCATGTTGGCACAGCACCAGGCCTGTTTCCAGCACCTGCAGGAAGTTGGCCGCATTGATGTCCAGCCCATAGAGATCCCGAAGCCACTCGGCCAGGTCTTCCTTCATGGCCTCCAGGTACTGTTCGCTGGACTTGAAGGGACGGATGCTACGCACCAGAGGCCCCAGGGCCTCACATCTCTTCCTGTGTCCTTGGAGCTGGGACATGGCTGCACTTCAGCAGGGAAAGAGGTGGGTGCCTCTTCTCTCCCTCTCCTGCCTCTTTACTCCTGTTCCTTGAGACCTTTCTGATTCAGAGCTTTGTGGTCTACTCTAGAGGAGCCCAGGACTTCTGGCTCTACTGCTGCCTGCTACCAGCGTCAGCCTCCAGGCCAGGTCAGGCCCCTGCCCCGCCCCCCACATTCCTCAGTCCCTGCCAGAACAGTCCCTTTGGTAGCCCTCTGGCGACCTCACGTTCCCCCTGCCCAGTCCACTTAGAGTTCAGCACCTACCAGCCAAGGTGGAGGTGAGGACATTGCTTTCGTCCCCAGGGCTGGACAGATCAGGTGCTACTCCACCAGCCAGGCTGCCTGCACGGCTGCAGCCTCCCTATTCTTTCTCCTCTCCTTGGAGACAGTGGCTGCTACAAACACTCCTTGCTAACCCTTCCAGCAGGCGCACACTGCCCTGCCCAGCTGGCCCTGGAGGGAGGAAGCTCAAAGAGGCTGGGCTGGCTCCTCTCACCATCCAGGGCCTGGGGTAGTGGGAGGAGGGCAGGGACCGGGACAGGGCTTGCTGTACCTTAGGAGTTCAGAGTCCAAGAGGAGACAGGAATTTTGCCCTAAAGCCCCATGAGAGCGTGAAAGACTCCCTAGGCTCTCTGAGCCTCAGTTTCTCAGTGGTGGAGGCTGATGATACTGTCTGCCTGTCTGGTGTTTTGAGAAATAGAGTAATCGTGTATGGGAAAGTGTCAGGCTGTCAGAACCCAGAAGCACAGGTCTGGGTGGGTGCTGGTCTCAGTGATTCTCTCCATGGAAGCCCTGTGTACGCACCTACCTGCCCTTCCCCTGCTCTGGCCGTGTGACTTTTTCTAAACGGGCTGCCCATCATGGTACTTCACCCCTTAGGCCACAGCAATGCATTCATGCAAGATTTCTTGAGTACCTACTATGCACCAGGCACCACTGGAGCCCTGAGGATGCAGACACACAAAAAGACCAGGTCTCTGTCCTCATGATGGCTGCCAGATAAACCAATACCTCGGAAGTAAGTAAGATGATGATAAGTACCAGGGAGAAAAATAAAGGTGTCGAGGGCCTGAAGGTGTGTATGTGGCATTTTGCAAAAGATGATCAGGGCGGGCTTTCTGAGAAGGTGCTGTCTGAGCAGAGACCTTCAGAGGTGAGGAAATGAGCCCTGCAGCCCTCTGAAGAACGGGCAGTCAGGCAGAGGGAACAGCTGGTACAAAACCTCCGAGGCAAGAGGACACGGGGCACGGTCTAAGAATAGCAAAGGGGAAAGCTATGAGGCCGAGAAGAAATGGGGTGCCAGGTCATGCAGAGCCCTGCTGATGACTCCAGGGACTTTGGGGTAGAGGAGGGATGCATTCTATCCCAGGCTGCTGCGTGGGAAGGGACACAGGACCAAGAACGGTGGAACTGGAAAACATGCAGGCTCTTTTTTTTTTTTTTTTTTTTTGTCTTTTTCGTTTTTTTCGTTTTTTATCGGTACCAGGGATTGAACTCACGACTGCCTGCTTACAAGGCAGGCGCTTATGCCGCTGAGCTAAATCCCCAGCCCCCCATGCAGGCTCTTTTGGCATCCAAGGAAGAGCAGTAGTGGTTTAGAACAAGTGGTGCCAATGTAGGTGACAAGTGGTCACATTCCATGTGACTCCTGGAAAGTCCATAGGACTGACTTAGAATGAGGTGTGGTTGGTGTGTTTGAAACTTTAGGCTAAATAATTCTGCTATTGCCAAAATATTTGTGCATTGCCAAATATCCCCTGGGGGGGGCACCTCTCCCTGAGCTGCCAATTGAAGTGAGTGTGAGACTCCAGCTGCCCAAACAGCCTTTCCCTGGGCTTTTTTTTTTTTTTTTCTTCTTCTTCATCTTTTTGAGACAGGGTCTCGCTATGTAGTTCAAGCTGGCCTTGAGCTCACTTTGAAGCCCAGGCTGCTCTCAAATTTGCAATGATCCTCCTGTCTCGACCTCCCAAGTGCTAGGATTACAGGCATACACAACTATGCCCAGCTTCCTTGGGCCTTTTGAATTGGAGTTGAAGGTCAGGTTCTTTTTTCCTAGTCTCATGGTTAAGACACAAATCAGGAGCCATGCTCCCAGCCCATGGAGAAAGCCCTTCTGCTGTGTGTGGCATACCAGGAGACAGGGCTGGAGGGAGAGAGGAACTGAGAGGGCTTGGAACACCTGGTTAGACACATGTCTGTCTCTGGTAGTCAGGCCCAGGCGACAATGCTATGTATAACAAAAAGACCACCTAACACAGAGGAGAGATTAAGCTCTCTCAGAAGTAGGCAGAGAGAAAAGAAGAGAATGTCTGGGGACATTAACGACCTAATCAAAACACTCATCTAATGGGTTTTGGACTCTGGGAGGCTGAGATAGGGGAATCTCAAGTCTGAGCCCAATTTGGGCAATTTAGCAAGACCCTGTCTCAGAAAGGGGATAGGGAGCTGGGGATGTATTCAGTGCAAAGTCCCTAGGTTCAATCCCCAGTTGAAGTGGGGGAGACAGAGACTGAGACAGAGACAGAGACAGAGACAGAGACAAAACAGAAAGGAAGATAGGAGTTAGGAGTTCCTGGGGGCTGATCAGACACTCAGATACCTGTAAAGGGAACGATTATGTTGTTTTTTTTTTTTTTTTTTTGTCTTTTTCCTTTTTATTGGTACCGAGGATCAAACTCGCAACTGCCTGCTTGCAAAGCAGGTGCTTATGCCGCTGAGCTAAATCCCCAGCCCCCAAGGGAACGATTATGAATAAAAAAAGATGAAAGACAAATTTCAAGGTAAAAGGAGCCTGGGAGGGAAGCTGCCTCTAGTGGACTGGCTCAACAATCTCCACAGCTGACCCACTTTACGCAGCACAGGAGGGGGAGGTGGTGTACTTTTCCTCAGTGACCTCAGCAGACAAGGAACAGTTAATGGAGAACAAGGCCTTCTCCATGTCAATATGCCTGCATTCCCTGGATTGTTCTCAGGAGATGTTACTGTGCCTTAGGAATCCTGCAGTCGTGAGCTTTCTCTGCAGCCTTCTGCATATTTCCCTGATCCTAAAACAAGTCACAGCAGCCTTGGAACTATGGGGCCTCAGGTGTGTATCCTGGTGCTCAGAGAGGTGGTCCCCAACATGGAGCCAATCCTGTAGCCCTCTCCCTTAACACTGATTGAGTGAATGAATAAATTTTATAAAGTTGATCATTCTTATTTGGGCATTCTAATATTTGACCAGCAAGATACATTCTAATTGACATATGATCAAAGTTCAAGGAGCCCCTTTCCTTTCTCTGTATAAATGTAAGGTGTTGTTATACATATTCCCGTTAGAGTAGTACCTGTGTACTGTGTACTATATAATTCTTTTAGATTATCTTTATTGCTCACTAAAATGAATATTGATTCTATGAACTAGAAGCAATGAACTATTTATACTGTTACTATAAAAAGTGACAAATTACTATAACAAAAGTGTACCTTTTTGGGTTTAGTCTTGATCTGTAGTATGATTTCTACAAAAGGCAGAGAATTACACCTGAGCTTGTTAACAAAGAGAGGCTCAGTTTCTTCTGATGTTAAACTACCTCTTTTGGATAGAGGACTAGTCCCTTCTGAGTTTGCAGCCATTATCTGAGCATTTTCTGCCCTCTCCAGGGGTCTTCAAGGTAACCTGTGGGCACAGGAGGAATGTGTATGTTTTTAGTGCTCTTAGGATTGACCATTGATTCCATTTTCACCAACTGCTCTGTGAGATTACTCCTCTGTAAGATCAATTTCCAATATGCTTTTATGCTGGTGTTGTTTTTATGACAATCTAAGTTTTGATGAAAGTTCCACAAAACCCACAATAACCCTGGGAAGAGGAAACATACACACACTAAGGATGGCAAAGTGTTGGTTGCTGGACGGGTTTGGGCTAGGGACACCCTGTGGTGTCGGATGCTCCCTGAAAGTGACAGCATGGCTCATGGACTCAGATGTGCCTGCCAGGAGCATGACATCTTAGGGAAAGACTTGAGTGTGCTTATGGTGCCCCTGACCAGGAAGAGCCCTCAGCGGTGGCCTTTTAGCTGAACTGTTCCTGCAAAATGTTTTTTCCTGGATGTCAGTTAGCGTTTAAATTTGTCATGATAGACCCAGGATCTGAACCCAGGCTGTTCAAGGGGCCAAAGCCACCATCTACTCCCTTTTGATGCCAAGCCTAAGGGAGAGTAAGGGACACCTGGGTTTTGAGTGCTTCAAGGGGCTCTGGAAAATGCAGCCATTCCTGGCTGGGGAGCTCTGTAGGCAGGAGAGACTCTAGCTCCACCCCCTGTGATCCAACAGAGAGATCCATAGAAACAGATCCAAGTTCTATGGGTTCCAAGAAACCCCACACACATCCCGGTGCCCTGATCAGAGAAAGTGGGAAGGATGGATAAGCACAGTGAGTGGGCTCGGAGGGTGGAGGCAGGCTGGACTGAGGAGGACAGGATCTCTTGACTACATGAACCTGCCCATCACTATGGCAACCCCAGAGGTGCTGAGCCTTGTCTCAGTGACTGATCCATGCAACTGTAAGCCCTCTCCTTTCTTGAAATCCATTCCCTCATCTCCACCTGCTCATGTTTGGATCTTTGTCTTCTTCACTGCAGTGACTCCGAAGTAGGTTTTCCGCCATCCTTTAGAGGGAACATCCCAAGACACAGATCAGAGCAGGTCTCTCCTCTGAGTCTTCCTACTGCTACAAGACAAACTGAATTCTGACCTCCAACTTTCCTTTTCAACTCCATTTTCTTTACCTTCTCCTCCTAAAAATGTCCCTAGCACCTGACTCTGGTCATGTGCCTTTCCCACCCACAAAGTTCCTTAATCTATTTTTCTAAATAAAAACATGATGGACCCGCTAGTTCTCCACCATTAGCTGTGCCAAGAATTGGGGCAGAATGTTCAAAATTGCCTCTTAAGAGTTCAAACACCATTAGAGGCCATTCTATGACCCACTCTGTCACCTCCCAGAGAGGGTTGTGGAGCTTAAGAGGCATCATAAATGAAGACAGCTGAGTCCAGTGACTGTGTGGTGCCTAGTACACATGGATTAGAATACCAGTTTATAAGTATTCTCCTTTTCTCCCAACCTCCTTTCCACCCGGGTGCTAGGGATTGAATTCTAAGTCTTCACACATTGCCAAGCTTTTTTTTTTTTTTTTAATGTTGGTACAGGATCTCACTAAGTGACTTGACTGCTACACTAGATTCAAACTCTGGATATTCCTGCCTCAGCCTCACTGTGTTCTGGGATCATAAACCTGCCCTGCCACACCCAGTTTGCTACCACCTTTTTGTTTGTTTTTATTTTTTGAGACAGGGTCTCACTGTTGTAGTACAGGCTGCCCTTGAACTCCTTGCGATCATCCTGCCTCCTTCTCTTGAAAGCTGGGATTACAAACCTGCACCACCGTGTCCAACTCACTACCAACCTCTTAAACCAGATGCACAGGGATGTACAGAAATGTTTGCTGACCTTCCCAGGGCAAACCCTAGGGTCATGCTTTTAACGATGGTCTCCGCCTTTTTATTATATGTTTAGCTCTCCAGATTCCATAGGAGCTGGCCCTACATGTGCTGACTGACACATTTTAAAGGAGGCCAGTTTAACTTCCGTGTCAGGCCCAGAACTTGAGGCCTGTTAGGTTGAAAAGTTGTGAGCTCTGTGTGCCAGCAGAAGGGGCAGTGGTAGCTGAAAGGCACTGGCAGTTGGGTAAATCCTGGAATAAAGATCATTTTCCTAGTTGATCAGCTCACGCAGTGTCCTTTTCCTGCTCACCCTGCCCATAAAGGTGACTTTTCTAATCACAGAAAGCCGCTGGATGCCCATCTGCCTGCCCACCCTGTCACCATTGATGCTAAGCAAGATCCACCCCAGTAAGGACATCTTAGAAAACAAAATATAAACAGCCACTATTAAAATGAATATTTATTAATAACCTATCTAGAGATCAGGCATGTCCAGTCCCATCGGGACTGGCACTGATTGCCTGCCCCACGCCAAGCCAGGAGGTTGAAGTGGGAGGTAGGGGACTGATCTGGGCGCTTGACACCGGAGGTAGGAACTACTTTTTCTCACTGTACAGATGAGGAAACAGAACTTGATTTAAAGCGAGGACACTTGTGCAAATCCTTCACTAGGAAATACAACAGTCTGGGAAACGGGGCACCCGGGAACCGTGCATGCTCTGCGCCCTCTGGCGGAGCCTTAGCTGGCCTGGGGCGTCTCGCACACATCGTGGTCCCGCAGGCACTAGCAGCAGGCAGGGTCCCCAGGTCCCTGGAGAGTTCACTGAGGCCCTCCCTACCCGCAGACGCGAAGACTCCCTTGTGGAAGAAGGAATTGGAGGAATCGTGGGACCGGGAGACGCCGCAGGAGCGAGTGGAAGACTCGGAGGAGGACGAAGAGCCCGGGACTGTGGAGAGCGCGGCCGGGGACGCAGTTGCGCTCGGCGCAGCAGACCAGGACGATCGCCGCGAGCGGGGCTCGGTGTCCTACAGCCCGTTGCGCCAGGAGTCGAGCACCCAGGAGGTGGCGCTGCTGCGGCGCGCGGACTCCGGCTTCTGGGGCTGCTTCAGCCCCTTCGCTCTGTTCAGCAGCCTGATGGCCCCCGCCGACAGGTGAGGCAAGCTCAGGGCGCCGGGGTACCGGGTGCCGAGCCCCAGAACGAGGGTTGCTGTGGCACTGAGCGCGCGGGTCCCTGCCCATAGGAACCGCAGCCTCCCCGAGGAGCGGTGCGTGCTGGAGACGCCGCGTCTGCGGCCGAAGCGCGGGGGCTGTACGCGCTGCGAGATCCTCTTTTGCAAGAAATGCAGCACCCTGCATAGCCACCCGGCCTACGTGGCACACTGTGTTCTGGAGCACCCGGATCTGGGTAGGGCGGAGGCCACTGGGGGTTCTGAGCGCACTGACTCCCAGCCTTGGTGTCTTCCTTGCTTGCCTGACCCCCAACTTCCCTGAGGCGGAGCCCTCTCCGGCACGTGGCACAGAACTGTCCCCTCTCCTAGCCATTAGCCCAAGCGCCCTCATCAGGCGAGAAGCCATTGTTGATGCAGGTTTCCCACCTGTCATCTGCCAGGCTTCAGCCATACAGAGCCTGGAATAACTGGGCACGTGCGACACTGGCAGCACCCAGCCTGCAGCCCATTCGACCCTGGTTTCTGACGCAGCCTTACGCATATCTCGAAGATGGGCAGACATCGCTTCAGGGAAGTAACCTCGGGGTTCCCTGGTGCCACTAAGCTGCTGCCCTCTCCCCTCAGGGCATTCAATAAAACCTCTCATCAAAGTGTCACTGCCTTGAGATGAGGGGAAGGCGGCTCCAGGTGGGAGTGACAGAGACTGGATCTCCCTCTCCCTCTGGGCGCAAACCAAAGAGAAAAGGGCGGGGGGGGCCCCCTCTTCCCTCGCCTCCTCAGGACAGGGCAGCACAAAGCACTTGCTCTAAGAGAGGATGGAGAAGGCCAGGCAACGCCAGGCCAGCAACGTCCCTGGGGGACCGAGAACCCTGCCAGACTGAATTCCCCTCGCTGGAAGCAGCCAGCTTAGTGCCTAGGAGGCACTGGCAGGTGTATGTTGGGGGAGGGCAGGGAGAGCTGAGGCACAAGACACGGAGGCTGGGGAGCTGATTCCTTCTCCAGGAATCCCAGCTATTCTTGGCCAGACAGCAGGAGTTTCGGGAATGCTGCGTGTGTGGTCTGCAGAATGGGGCTATTGTAAGCACCAGGCATCTCCCCAACCTGCTAGGCCTGTGGAGGCTGCTGCAGCAGTACAGACCCCCAAGGGGGCTTCTGACCTCTCCCTGCTGCACAGTACTCTCTCCACCTAGCATGGGAGAGGGAATGGAGGGGATGAGGATGTCTTGCTTTTTAGGGAGAGGCAGGCCTCCTCTCCCATCACAGCACACAGCTGGCTAGCCCAGGCTTGGATGAAAGAGCGTGATCCCTGCCTCTCCCACGTCCATGCCCACCTGCTGTCACCAGGAAGGATGGAGAACTGGCACAAAAAGGCTGCTTGCTGCTTCCGGGCCCACCAGCTGGGGGCGCCTCTTCATTCTTTCTCAGACAAAAAGCCAGATCCTAAGAGGTCCGCAGCGGTCCCCTTCTGCTCTGCATCCTGGTACCCTACAGGGTCTCTGATGCTAGAGACAACTTATGTCTTCACCCTAAATAAACTTCTTGGGGGTGAGGGCTCTGATTATATAGAACACAGTTTTCTAAGAAATGAGCCAAGAGGCCCTAAGAGAAGGGGACCGTCTTGCAAAATAGTTTCTAAACTTTTCATTGGGCTTTGCATTCTCCCTGGTGGAACTTCAGTGCCATCAACTCACCGACAGAACTGCATTCTTGGCAGAAGAAACAAAATCCCCAAGGCCTAGGAAGGAAAGAGGTTCTTGGGAGAAACGGCTGAGGATCCGGGACCTTTTGTTGCTTTTCCTTGGATTGATCCATGCCCGCATCCATGTGGTGAGAACAGCACAGAGACAATGCCCCCTTCTCTGGGGGAATAAGTGCTGACGCTGACAAGCTTCCTGGTGGCAATTTTGTTGCCTGCTCTTCTGTAGCGAGGCTCAGAAGCAGCTGAGATAGGCTCGGCCCCTGGGGCAGGAGAGGTGAATTGGCCTGAGAGCATCAGTGTTCATCAGGGGGTGGAGGTCTTCAGAACAGGGCACCTCCTGAGTTGGCAAGCCAGCAGCCCATCCAGGGTAGCTCGGTGGCCCAGCGGCCCGAGGTGATCACTTGCAGTTTGGCTTGGTCAAGTTGCCAGTAGTGGTCATCTCTAAAGAAGATGATGGAGCCATCAGGCCTTGGCAGGGCGCCACTGACCTCCTCAGGAACATTGTTCCAGTCCCGCAGGAAGCGGGGGTAGAAGGGCTCCACTTGCAGCCCCCCGCGGGCCAGTACATAATATCGGGCACCCTTGAAGAGGATCAGGCGGTGTAGAGGAGGGAAGAAGAGGGCTGCGTCAGGGTGGCGGGGCAGACCCCCTACCCGGCACAGCAGGGAGGAGCCCCATACTGACTTAGCACCCCGGAACCTCCAGCATCGACTCCCTGCAGGGCATTGAGAGAGCCAGAATGAGCTGGAGGCTTGTACGCATTGGTCCTCCACCTACCTCTGCCCCCCATGCACCTCCATACCCCCTCAAGTTGGAGCCCGATGTTGTGAGTACTGGAGACAAAGTGGATTCTACTAATTACCACAGTTATAGGAGTCAGCAGAGGGCAGATGACCCTCAGTGAACCTAACCATCCTAGAATTGGGGACTGGGGGAGGAGAGGAAGGCAGGGAATAGAAAGTTAAGAAGGCCTAGAACTTTCTCACTACTGTTACTATTACTAACTTTACAAAGGCAGGGATGTTTGTTTTTTTCACTGCTCTATGCCCAACACCAATGTCAATTGTATAGAAGCCACTCCATATTGGTAGAATGAATGAAGCAATGAATACTTGTAACCTATCCAGTGTGGGTGTAGGTGTAATCTAGCAATATACTGCACACAATCCTGTCATCCTTCCTTCCTTCCTTTCTGTAGTACTAGGCAGGGATGCACTGTATGAGATTCCATCTTTTGAGCTTGAGCAAGACTCTTCCCCTATCCAGGCCACAATTTTCTCAGCTGCCCACAGCTAGTACCTTTGAAGAAGTAGAAGTCTCCATCGTCCAGTGTCACTGCAGCAGCCTCAATGTTGGAGGGCAGCCCTGGCCACCTCTCCTGCAGCAGGAGGGGCTCTGAGACATTGCCATCAGGGGCCACCTCCCAAAAGTGGCTGCCTTGAAAGATGTATAGTCGCTGTTGCCCGTCTGTTCAGATACAAGAGAAACTTGAAGAATGACTGTCAGCCTGCTGCCCTCTTTCCAGGACAGTGATATCCTAGAACCCAGATTCCCAAGCCAAGAGGCAGAGGTGTGACGGGCACAGGTGGGGCAGGGAGGAAGCAGGCAGCCCGACCAGGCTTGGTGTGAGCTTGCGACACTGCAGAATGCATGCAGCATGGGCGTTCTTGATTCTGTAACCCTTCCATCCACCTGTAATCTAGCTCTGGGGACCACTGGAGATGGTGGCAGGGAGAGGAGGGAGAAGGGAAGAAAGAAGCCAGGCACAGGTGGGTCCATCTTACCTACAGTGATGGTGTCGAAAGAAGAATGGCAGTATTTAGGACCCTGGGTCTCAGGGCCCCTGACTTGGGAGTTGTGCGGGCTCCAGGCCTCAAAGTCAGTGAACAGCTTTCCTGGGAGCTGGGTACCCACTGAGCCCCCCAGGGGCTTTCCTTTAAGGGCAAAGAGAAGAGGGAAAGAACAGACATGGAATGGCATATGTTGAAGCCTAAAGACCTCCCCTTGGTTCCTTTCATGATCACCACCTGCAAGGTGCAGGAAAGGAGAGAGGGGGGGTGAGAAGAGCTGCTCCAGATGTTGGTGTTTTCCAAGACCGCTAATCTTGTCCCTTATCCAACACCCTGGAAAAGAGATCTACTGAGATACATTTGGAAAAAGGGACCAAACAGGGATTTGGAGCTAAGAAGGACAGGGCCCTTTTCTCTAAGTCCTGGGCAATAGGGGACATGTGGGCAGGGTTCAGAGCTCCAGGCTGTGATAATACAACACTTATGATAGCATCGCTACCCTTGTGAGATGACCGAGGCAGAGTCCAAGCTTGAAATCTGGTACTAGTTCCTGAATCCTGGCTTGCAACTTCCTAGCTGTGTGACTGCAGGCAATTACCTAATCTCTCGTAGCCCCATTCTCTCAGTCTGTGGACAAAAGATAACCTCATGGACTTGCTGTATTTTACATGCTTAGCCTGTGAGGGGAACCCCTAAAACAGCAACTAGCAGTGTTACATTTTGTAGGCTTTCCAGCCTACAAAGCATGTTTGACTTTTTTTACAGAAGGTAAGGTTGGTTTGTTTGGTATCGGGAATTGAACTCAAGACCTTGTGCTTGCCAGGCAGGTGCTTATGCCACTGAGTTAAATCCCCAGCCTCTCATTTGCTCATCAGAGATGGGAGATGATTTGAACCTAGGCCCTGTCTATGCATCTGAGGGAGACAGTCCAGTGCAGGCAGGCCCCGGGCAGTGGCATTAGTCCAGTTGGCACTGGAGGAAGCACTTTGTCTGTGTCCACCTTCTGAGGCCCAGTAAAGGGGACATAGGCATCTGCATTGTGTTGAGTGAAAGGCAGGTGAAGAGAAAGTGGGGACGAGTGCTTTGGGATCTTGGACAAGGTAGGGGGCAGGCAGACTGAGTTGGGTCTAGGTAACCCACAGGGATGTGATGTGACAGCTGCTGCTATGGCCCGATGTTGGGCAGGGATTCGAGAACCCGAGTGAAGGGAGCTGCACGTGGGAACTGGCCGCGACAGATGGGAAGGATAGGGGGCCACAGTGGGGATGGGGTGGGACGGCACACGAGCCTGAGGATTTTCAGCTTTAGGATTGGTAAAGGAGGCCAGGTGATGGGGAAGTTCAGAATGGGGATTCTACTTAAGGAGCCAGTGTCCAAGCCTTGGAGGCTCCAGGGACAGGGGTAGAACAGCAGCTTGTCTGGGGGCTCACCATACAGGTTCTGCACGGCCAGCACGTCGTCCCAGCTGAGCAGAGCATCGCGGCCCAGCCTCTTGTAGTAGGGTGCCATGAGGGCGCGGGGCGCAGGTGAGTGAGCCAGGCCCAGCGTGTGGCCGATCTCATGCGCCAGGACCACGAAGAGGTTGCGCCCACGGCGGCGGCTCAAGGACCAGCGCTCGTCTAGGTCGAAGTGCGCCTCCCCGCGGCGGGGCAGAAAAGCGTGCGCTAAGGCGCCCCCTGCAGGTGGTGCAGAGGGTCAGCGTGCGAATCTGCCCAGAATCCCCCCGTACTCGTGCCCAGGGAAATGCTGCAGGCTGGCTGGGTGACTGTTTCCTGTTGCATAACTTCCCTCCAAGTCAAGTCTGGCAGAAGCAGAAGTGTACAGAGGTTTAAGCTATAAGACGATTAAACTGTAAGGGGAGGAGGACTCCTAAGAGAGAGCATGGTGTAGAATCAGTGTGGGGCCGAAGCGCCTGTCTCACTGCACTACCGCTGTGACCTTAAGCAGACAACTTAACCTCTCTGTCTTAGCTCCCTATTGGCGATGGGCATGGTGATAAGAAGCTATGTAACAATGTCTTGTTTTTGTTTTGTTGAGACAAAGTCTTGCTATGTAGTCTAGGCTGGACTGAAACTCACAATTCTCCTGCCTCAGCCTCTGAGTGCTGGGATTACTGGCTAGCGTTACTGTGCTGCTATTTCCAAAAAGATCTAGAAGAAGGGATAGTGGTTATCTGTAGAAGAGGCAGGTGGGCTTTCTGTGCTGTATCTTGGTCTGGATTCTGGGAGTTCTGGGTGTGGGAAAGCTGGCCAGTCTGCACCCTGAGATGTGTGCAAGTGTTTTCTAAGTATATCTGTTCTTCCCTCTGTCTGCCAGGGCCTCCTCTGTTGGCCACAGGAATGAACAGAGGGAGTTTCCAAAAATAAATAAGTAAATAATTGAGTAAATAAATAAGTAAATGGGCAGTTTCCAAGGCCTCGTCCTGCACAGGTCACTTCTGCAAGAGCACTTGACTCCTACATAGTCAGCAAACTGTTCTGCCATAGCGTTGGCCTAGAAGCTTGTGGAGAGTCCTCCTGGGTTTGGTTTCTTGGAGCCCATGACACCTAGAGTGGACAGAGGTGGGGCAGTTGGCTTTAAAAGGAGACCCTGATGGGGTATGAAGGACCAGCTAGGTGCTTCCTAGTCTATGTATGCCTTGAACTGTGTCAGGTACTGGTCACTGCATTTGGTACTCACTGGGAGACAAAAGGGAAGAGCTCAGCAGGGGAGAAGACAAAAGGCAAAAAGACAAAGCATCTTCCCAAGTGAGAGAGCTGCTTGAGGAGCCCAACCTGCTGTCTTAGTTACCGGAGTCTGCATGGATGTAGAAGTGAACATGTAACACAGGAGTCATGGGGCATGAGCTTTGTGTAAACATGTATGCTCTCTGCAGTTGCTGGCAAAGCCTCTCCTCCCTGCCCCAGCCTGGCAGCAGGCTTTGCTGTAGGTGGGCTTCATGAAAAGGAGGATGGTGCAAGGGGGGAGGGGACCAAGTTCTTTGGCCCTGAAGAGCTTCAGTCCCCACCCTGAGCTGTCCAATCAGGTTTCATCCCTCACTGGGAGGGAGGAAATGTGCAAAGAGCCTACACTGAGGTCCTGAAGGCAGCAGTAGGTAGGATGGAAGAGAACAGTTTCCACTTCAGCCAGAAGCCTTCAGATTGGGGTCCATAGAACTAACTGTGGCTGTGGGTATGTGAAGCCACTCTGTGGCTGTTAGGGGTAGAACATCTCTGACTCTGTGGCAGCGACTGTGGTAGTCAGTTGGGGGTAGCAGTGGCACTGGATTTTCTTAAGGCCTATTTAGAGTCAATGGGTGGGTGATGGGGCTCAGAAGATTGTCCCAGAATTCAAGAACCTCATCTGACCATCCCTTTAGCATGTGGTGCATAATAGGGCAGGGGCTCCATTTTACAGACAAGAACACTGAGGGTTCTTGGGAGAGGGACAGAGCTTGGCCTTGGCCATAGGGAGAGCAGGTGCTGCATCACCACCCCCAGACTGCATGTCCTAGTTGGGTTCCCCTCCTGGTATGTGGAGAGAGCTCTTGTCAGCACCTGGACCATCGAAGGCATTGCTCAGTCCATCGTTGTGGTCTCCTTGGAAGAAAGTGAGGCGGATGTCTGCAGGGGCTGTGGCTGGGGCCTCCCAGAACTCCAGGGCTGAGACGTTGCTCCACAGCTGGAAGGCTGCGCGCACGGCACCCCGGACTACTGGCTCGGGCAGGCGTTCCGGCCAATTCACCAGGCGATAGGAGAGGTGCTGCTTGTACCACTTGTGGCCTGCCACCCAGAAAGGGCACATCAGTCACACCTGGTCCCCATGGGCCCCACAGGATGCAGACTAGGCCCTCCCTTAGGGAGTTCCTGACCTCATGGGAAAAAAGCACCTTCCCTGAGCAGCCCTCATTTGACTGGGAGACCCCCTTCCCTGCTGAGAACCCTCAGACCAAGGGAACTGCCTTAGGCCTGAGGAGTTGCCAGCCTAGTGGCTTGGCCTGGGGATGGAAGAGATGTAGTCTTTGTGTAGGGCAAGTCTATGCGAAAGAGTCTGAACCCCTGGTTTGGTGCCTTATTCTGCTCCACACCCTGCACTGAGCCTGAAACAGCTCTGTGCCTCTTGTGGGCAGCAAATCCCAGCCCCTGTGTGCAGCAGCAGTGAGGAGGCACTGAGGTCAGGGCTCGGACTGCCCTCGCCACGCTCTCCACCCTCACCCCTCCTGCCTCCTCCCAGAGGCTCCACCCTGCCCTTTCCATGCCATGGCCGTCAGCTGCTGACAACCCAAGACCCATATTTGAGTTCCTTCCTTGCCCCTCAACCTCCTCCTTGCTTCCTCGGGACTCTGCAGACCTCGGAGGTAAAAACAAATAAGAACAAAGGGTGTGTTCTGTCACTAGCCCAGGGACAGTTTCCCATCTCGCTCAGTTAAGAGTTTCTCTCCCTTTGCCCCAAACCTTGGTTCCTCCTTGAGGGCTGGGCCTCTGCCCTCTGCCCCAGCCCCAAGTTCACCACCAACACACACCCACACCCTGGAGCAGGGTGGCTAGAAGCCCAGCCCTGAAGTTTCTCTTGGGTTCTTTCTGAGCCCTCCAAACTCACAAATTGAGACTGTGATGCCAAAGGGACAACTTGAAGCTTGGAGGCAGGACTTCTGGGCCCAGGGTGGGGAAACTGAGACTCAGGGGAAGGGGCCTATCTAGAATCACAGAATGAGTGAGCAGCCAAGCGGATCCCTGCCCACTGATCCAGTGTTCTTTCCCTTGTACCACAGAAAAACAGGCACATTCCCTAAGACTACAGGCTCACAAGCCTGCCCGGACAGTGCAGTAGTGACTGCACCGGCTGAGACTCTCCAGATAGCAGGGAAGGTCTCAGGGAGCAGAGGAGCCCGCTCCCCTGCCCGGCCACCCATGGAAGGGAGGGAGGGAGGGGCGGGTCCTTCTCCTAAGCTTGAGCCAAGCTCCATTCAAGGCAATGCTGCCTCCCTGGGCCTGTTTGGCCTGGCAGCCACTCAAACCCTGCCTCCTAGTCAGTGACCAACCCTGAGGCAGGGGAAAGAGAGAGGGAGGGAGAGAGAGAGAGAGGATTGAGATTCTGAGAAACGGAGGGGGAGAGGGAAGGCCGGGGTCTAGAGGTACAGCTGAAGGTGTATTACATAGCAGGGTTACCCTGCTCCTTACTATAAAGTCTTCACTGGGCACAGACCAGCTGGCACTTGACTTTTACACCCCGTCATGGGGGGCTCACTCCCAGGGTCTTCCTCCCCCACCACAAACATGTAATTCTCTAGCAGATGTGACTTGACTTCTGTTCTTGGGCAGTGTGTGTGTGTGTGTGGGGGATTGTCACTTGATGGACAAGAAAGGGGAAAGTTAGACAATTCTTTCACTTTAGATAGTGAGTGAAGGTGAGTGGTCTCAGGCCAGGCATAGTGGTGCATCCCTGTAATCTTAGCACTCAGGAGGCTGAGACAGGAGGATTGCTGCAAGTTGGAGACCAACTGGGGCTACATAGTGAGTTCAAAGCCAGCCTGAACTGCATAATGAGCCCTGTCTCAAAAAGAAAAAAAAAGATGACTGGTGTCAGGATAGAATCCTCTGCAAAACTGGTGTGTGTGTGTGTGTGTGTGTGTGTGTGTGTGTGTGTGTGTGTGTCTGTGCATGTATGTGTTGGCGGGAGGATGGGTTGAACAGGAACAGGAGCTGAGAGAAAATGACTGCTTTCCTTGGGAAGAGGGCAGGGTCAGGGGTCACTGGTGCACCTGCCAGGAAGGAAGGAACTTGTTGGGGGCAGCAGCCCTCTCCCTGTCCTCCAGGCTGGCTCTCTTGGAGAATACCAGCCACTTTGGGCCCCATCCTAGATTCCTGGCCAGGCAAGGCTGGTTTTTATGGCAACCCTCAGGTCCCACAAGCACCTACACCCTTGTTCCAACGTCCAGAAGGGAAGAAGGCAGGAAAAGGAGCTGGGGAAGCGGGGGTGGGGGTGAGGGTGGGGTGGAGTTAGAAACTGCCCGGAAGAACCCTAGACTCGACCTCAGCAGGCAACTGATGCTATGGAGGAATCCTAGGGCCTCCACTTGCAAATTTACACAAACTTGAAAGCTCTCCAAAGCCTCAGTTTCTTTACCTGCAAAGTGGGGTTAATAAGACTCACTTCATGGTGAGATGTGAGGCTTACATACAGCAGTGCCATGCTGCCTAACACGTGGATGCTCAATAAATATCTGTTTTCTTTTCTTTCCATTTCTACACCCCTGTGTGTTACCCCCTATATCCTCCAGCTCTGTGAAGGAACAGGAGAGGTTAAATATCAGGCAGAGAACAGAAGGTACTGGGATGAGGTTGGCTGATTGAACAAACAAATTTGAATTCAAAACATATAAATACAATTTTTTGTTGTTCATCTGAAATTCAAATCTAACTGGGCCTCCTGTGTGTTATCTGGCAACCAGGTTGTTACCACTATCCTCTGTCCAAAAGAGAGGGTCCAAATAGGTTAGTGACAAGCACACTCTTTTAGATCCTTCCTTGGGACCTACAGAAGCATCCCCAGGACGTAGGCCCCAAGAGCACCTGCACAGACTCTTTGTGGAGCTGCCTTATTTTCCGCTGCCTCTTATAACAAACCTTTGCACTTGGTAATTAGGGACCAACTCTCCTCTGAACCTTCAAAGCCCTGCATCTCAGATGGAGAAGGATGAGGAGCTTCAGTGAGCAGAGTGACATGGCTGGGGTCACACAACTGAGATTTGAACCCAGTGCCTCCTGCTGCTCCAGGAACCACATTCTCACTGTTCTGCTGGTACCTCCTGAACTCAAACATCTCCTCTCCTTCTTCACCCTTCCCCTCTGCCTCCCAGAAATGCAGTGGGAGACAGGGCACATTGACACCAAGGACATCTTGACCTCATCAAGTCAGAGCCTGGAGCCCATCACTGACTCCAGACTTTACTAGGTGCCTTTGGTCCTGTTTCTAAGGAAGGTTATTGGTAAAAATAGTTAACAATTAAGATTTGCAGGGTCCAAACTCACAGTAAAATTAATTATAGATGAAAACCTGACTGAAGAAAAAAGCTCATCTTGCTGGCAATCTTGAAAACTGCAAAAATTGATACAAGAAAATAAGATTTAGTAAGAACAATTGTAATGTTAGAATTACACGTGGTACAATTTGTTATTTGGAAAAACTGATGGAAGACTCAACTCTTCATAAATCTTAAATCTGTTCCATTTAACTGTGTAATATTTTGATTCAGGAAAAAATAAAGATGAGGAGAAGGAGGAGGAAGGCCATGAGTAGAACTCAGTGGTAGAACCTCCAGGCCCTGAGTTAGATCCCTAGCACTGCAAAACAAACCAGCCACAAAGACAAAAGGAAGAGAAGAAAAAGAAAAAAAACTCCAAATAAACAATAGGGAAAGTCACAGAGTCTGTAATACATAAAAGGTGTTACAATGAAGTGCTCAGAACAGGCAAACCCTGGAGACAGGAAGTGGATTAGTGGTCAGTAGATTAGTGGCCAGGGACTGTGGGGACGGGGAAACCCAGAACAACTGCTAATGGACATGGGAGTCTTTTGAGGGGGATGAAAATGTCCTGTAATTAGATTGTGGGGATGTTTGCACAGTTCTGGAAATATGCTAAAAACCACTGAGTTGAGCACTTTGAAGTGGGTAAATTGCCTGGTATGTGCATTCTATCTCAATAAGGCTGTTAAAATGTTCTATGAACAAAATAAAAGTGATTAATGAACCCCATCTTTGTTGAATAATTGTTACAAAATAATTGATTCTGGTGAGAATAACTTCAGTAAAATAGAAATGAAAAAGTGTTGGCAACAATTCAACCGCCCTGCATAGAACACTGATCCAGGAGTTAAGTGGGCTTGATCTGGACAATACTTGTACAATGAAAATTCGTCAGTCTATGTATACTTCAATTTAAATGTCTATATTCAAAACTGTAGTCCTTGAGTCAAGCGGTCCTATTGGCCCAACCTTCCCTGGTCTAGGGAAAAGAGGTTATTGACCCAGCCCAGTCCCAGACTGAGCTGCTTTTCTGGCCACAGGTCTGAGGGTATTGGGGAACCCCAGCCTAGCTGGGTCTCAGCAGTGCTCACCTTGCTTTGCAAAGCGTTTCTTGCGCCTTGTTTTGGCCCGGCGTCCAGCAAACAGGACCCGCTCTGTCCAGGTTGCATGACTGTTGGTGTCTGAGACCCCACAGCGGGGTCGGGTCATCTGATGCAGGGTGGCACGGTCTAGTACACCACTGATGGGTAGCTGAGACACCCACTGGAACTCTCTGCCAGGAGAGACAGAGATAAAGGACCACAGAAGGAGGGATGGGGCTAGCAGGAGGACTGTATTCCTGGGACGTGGCCGCATGGAGCCTTCCAGGAGAAGGGAGATGGAGCTTTGCACTCTGTACCCTCAGGTCCTCCACAGCCCTCCATCCTACCTGATGGCGTTACTGAATTGAGTGGAGGTGGGAGCTTTGGAGACTTGTTCATCAAGGTATCCGTACTTCTCCAGGAATGCCTGGGGGAGAGAGGAACAACAGCCCTTCCTACCATGTGGCATCATTTCCCCTCTCCTGGCATCCAGGAGTCCATGACACATAAACCCTGCTCCATCTCATCTCTTATGCTAAGAAGGTCTGTAAACTCGAGAAGAAAGAGTCTTGGAATTAAAGCTGAAAGAACGTGGACTCAATTTCAGGGCACCAGTGACTAGCTCAGTGATCTCAGACAAGTCATTCAATATTCCTTGGCTTTCTTACCATCTTATGACATTGCTAGAAACCTAGCAAAGAACACTGGACAGTTTTATGGCTCTGGAGTCAGGCTGGCCTGGGTTTGAATTACGGCTAGCACATCACTTCTCCATAATAGAACTCACTCTACAGGGGTTTCTTCTGAGGACTGAGTGTAATAGCACTTACAAAGCACTCGGCACAGTCAGTGCCTATTACCTTTGCTGGACCATACAGAGCAGCTATGATGTGTGTTGTGTAAACACACCATTCATGTCTATCAGTTTGCTCCAAACATCTCAGCTTTCTAGGCAATGCTCAGGTATTGGTCAGGAGTGGACCAAGTGCTGGCTCTGCCATACCAGCCTTGAGAAACCTCTCTTTAACTCTGATTTCTTCCTAACCAATTCTCACCCCAAATACAGATATATTTAAGGTCCTATGACAATAAATATATTTACCCTCAGTCTTACAATTGACATAAAAACCTAGCTTTCTAGAGATGTGTATTTTAAACTAGAAACATCTAACTTCCTTCTTTCATTCATTTGTCAATTCATGCTATGTGCTAGGTATCCTGCTAGATGCAGTGGTAATTAAGACACCTCTAGAGGAGCTTATCCACTTAGTGATTAGAGAGTGACCAAAAAAAGAAAAAACCCAGGGGTATAGCTCAGTTCAGTGGCATAGCACCTGCCTGGCAGGCATGAGGTTGTAAGTTCAATTCCCAGCACCAAAAAAAAAAAAAAAAAAAGTTACAAGTAAACAGAAGAGGTAAATTGGTGCTATATAAAAAACAGAAACCACATGATGTGATTCAGATTTATTTATTTGTTTATTTATTTCTTGAGACAGGGTCTCGCTCTGTAGGTCAGGCTGGCCTGGACTCACTGGATAGCCCAGGCTGGCCTCCAACTCAAGGCAATCCTCCCATCTCAATCTGCAGAATGCTGGGCTTACAGGCATGCACCACCATACCTAGTGATTGAGAATAATTTAGAGAGAAACTTAATAATCAACAAGATGAAGAAGGACCTCATAGGCATGGTGGTGTTTGCCTGTTTTCCGGCTACTTGGGTGGCTGAGACCAGAGTATTGCAAGTTTAAGGCCAACCTGAGTGAGACCGTGTCTCAAAATAAAGAATAAAAAGGGTTGGGGATACAGTGGTAGCGCTTGCCTAGCATGTGCCAAATCCTAGGTTCAATCCCCAGTAACCAAACCCCTGCCCACCGCACCCCCCTGAGAAGCAAATACCTGATATGGATCCTAAAGGACCAAAAGGCAACCAGCCATGTAGATGCAAATGCAAAAGCCCTGAGCTGGATATGCTGCTGACCTGTCCACAGAACACAGGGAAACTGTGAAGAAGCAGGGTAGGAGGGGTGGTTCAGGGAGGCAGAGCTGTGGACCAGAGTGTGAAGTGCAGGCTCATTTTATCTTGCTGATGGATTGTGGGGAATGAATGAAAGAGAGGGATCTGGGATGGCACCTACGATTTTGGCTTAGAAGGTGCTGCCATATATCATCTGAGGACACAGAGAGAGGAGGAGATGGGGCATGTGAGTGTGATTACGGTGGGGATGTCAAGTGGTCGTATGATCCCAGGTCTCAGTGAAGTGGCAGAAGATGATGTAAAGCCGTGGCCCTAGGTGAGCTCCTTAGGGAAACTAAGATAATTGGAGGCTGTCCCATGGTCCCTGGGTCTTTTATTCCCTGCCTGCCCTCACAAACCTGGAAGCTCTCCCCGAGATCAAGTTCTCTGAGTCCAGTGGGGAGAAGTGTGTGACTCTTCACCTATCACCACTCCTACCCTCTTGGGGAGACCAGGCACTTGGCCTCTTGCTTGCTATCATACTAATAGAGCCCCACAGATGTCACCATGGGTTAAAAAAAGTCACCTAAGCTGCTTAGCGCCCCTACAGACACAGTGTTTTCATTCTCACTCCGGTGTGTTGTTACTAAACAGGTAATTTTCTGTCTTCCTTGTTCTCTTACCCTCACTTTCCTTTACTGTCTCTTCTTTTTGTTTCTTTTTTTGAGTCAAGGTCTGGCTATGTATTGTGGGCTGACCTTGAACTTCCTATGTACCCAGGCTGGCCTCAGACTCACACAATCTTCCTGCCTCAGCTCCGGAGTGCTGGGATCACGGGTGTGTGTCACCATGCCTGGCCTTTGTTGTATTTCTTAAAGTCAAGCCAATCAAAAATCACTGTTGCCTTGAGGAAAAGACATAGCTGGGAATGAGGCTAAACGGCAAGAGCAAGGACTGGCCAGCATCTAAGTCTTTATGTCCAGACTCTTCTCTGGATTTCATTTGCAGCTGTCTTCAGCCACCTGTACCAAAGGCCATTTTTACAAACTAAAGCCAGAAGGAATTCTCATTTAGACAACTGAACACTTTCTGCATTCATCTCTGTGCATGTGAGCACAATTGATTTTCTTTCTTTCCCTTTTTTAATGTTAAAAAACTATTTTCAGCTGCCTAATAGATTAAAGAGGTTCCACTGGCTCAGGCAGGAAAACAATTTACTGCTCAAAGTAATGTGGCCCCATAGAGGGTTTGAGATTGAAAATCTGTTCCTGATTCTGATGATGGTAGGTGGGCGGGGGACAAATTACTTAACTTCTACAAGCCTCCATTTCTTTGCCCATGATGTAAGAATAAAATGAACCCCGTAGTATTCCCAGAACTAAACAGAACTAGCACAGAGCCTGGTGCATGGTAAATGCTCAGTAAACCAGTTGACTGACCTAAGAGAGAACATTAAAACAGGCTTCTGGGATGCAGCTCACCTATAATGTAAGAACCACTCGCAACAAGGCGCTTACACCTGTTCTCGGTTCGGGGGCTTCTGGTAACATTTGCATTACATCTGTCAGGTTCCTGTTCTCTTCTCTGCTGCTCTCCTCTCATGAGGGTGGATAGAAGCCTCTGATGCAGTTTTGCTGAGTGAGTGACTTGGGAGGGACCAGGTCACAGGTTCACCTGGCTGGCACTCCCTTCTTCCTCTCCCCACAAACCCGCCCAGCCCTTATCAGGGAGTTGGCTCGGGTTCTGGAACTGTGAAGCCTTGGACAGAGTGGAAGGGAGGGGAAATTGTCTGGCGGCGTCTCCTGTTTCCTGGCTGGGCTGTTGTGCCTGGCACTCTGGCAGGCAAGGTGGGGTGGAGACTGGCTTCAGGGGCCATTGGGAGGGAAGTTCTGAGATCTGGGACCCTGCAGTTGTTATGGCACAGTTGAATTCCCAGTAAACAGAATGAGCGCATGCCCAGGACACCACCCAAACAGAGGCACTAAAAGAATGAGAAAAGACCTTCTAAGAATTTGATGCTGTATATTCCAAAAAGGCAGTGAAGTATTTTATGGGGATGTATGGACTCTCAAACTTATTTTATGTTTAACACACACATTAAAATAGTTTTCAGTGAGGAACAGGAAAGGCTCTCTGCTACTGTTTGTGTTGAGTGCTCTGAAGCGCTGCCAAATGGGGGCCCAGCTGTGTTCCTGAGGCTCAGACCCCCTCTGCTCCATGTGCTGTGCCTCAGTTTCCCCCTGAAAGGATGAGAGAAACAGCAAACTCTGTATGCAAGAAAGCAGGAGTGTGGGGTGAAGGGATCCCAGGAGAACCAGGTGGAGGCCCAGCCCTAATCCCAAAGGCGGGCCACCCTCCCCTTGAGAAAGTCATTTCTCCCACGGACTTCTGTTTTGGGGGCTTGTCCTGGGTTAGCTAGTCCCATGGGTTAGGGACTCCATGCTCACCAGGGGCTCTCCCACATCATGGAGAGAGTGCCCAGGCCCAAGCACCTCCATGCTTCAGATTCAAGCGCGGTTCTCTCTTTCTGGTTCTCCACTTGGCCTTTCTCCCGGGGAGCCCCAGGCTTGAGCTGGAAGGAGCACCAGCTGGAGGGCCATGTGCCTTGGTGACTCACCCACTCTGGTCTGAAAGCTGTGCCAACAAGCCTTGTGACTCTAGGCAGAATGCAAGTGGTTCCCCCAAGGCCATCCAACAAGGTGGGACCGGAGCTCTGGGGTTCTAGTTCTGTATTCGCCCTGACTTGTCTTGGGAGGGTGTGTGGGGCCCAGCCCAGTTAGTGCCCGAGGGAAGGGGAAATTCTGGCCATTTCTGAGCAGGGCAAGACTAGCAATGAGGTGCAGCAATGAACCTCGCCCTACATCAAGATTTGAGCCACCAGGTTAGCAAGACAAGAGCACCAGCCTGAGAGTCAACTCCCACTGCTGCTTCTGTGACCTCGTACAAGTCCTGTCCTCTTTGGGCCTCAGGTTCCTCTTCTATAAGATGAGAGAGTTGGGTTAGAGTACTGAGATACATTTCAGCCATTTTATTGTAGCCTCGCTTCTGCAACTGACTGACTGGATGTGTAATGAAGTTATTTAACCTTTCTATGCTCCAAAGTAGAAAACCAGGGAAAGAATATCACTTTACTTTCTCAGAGGACATCATGAAAATTTCATAAGAAAATATTTGGAGAAAGCTTTATGACAGTTGTCTGATTAAAAATGTTATTTTGGGGGCTGGGGATTTAGCTCAGCGGCATAAGCGCCTGCCTTGCGATCAGGCAGTCATGAGTTCGATCCCTGGTACCGATAAAAAGGAAAAAAAAGGAAAAAAGACCAAAAAAAATGTTATTTTTGCCAGGCATGCAACCTGGAATCCTAGCACTTTGGAAAGCTGTGGCAGGAAAATCACAGATTTAAGCATAGGTTGGACAACTTAGCAAAATCAGCAAGAATCTGTCTCAAATTTTTAAAAAAAGGGTTAGTGAT